GGGCGATCGTGACGACAACCATACGTATGGCATACAGGCCTTCATCACAGGTAAACCAGTGGTAGGTTCCCAGGATGGCTCGACTGAGAGGAGGGCGTGGCTTCGTGCGGAATCCGCGAGTAACACGCAGCTTCTCCTGTGCTGCTTTGGTAACGTCGTCGGCGCTGACGCGATCAGGATCGTCTACGGTACCCTCGGACCCCGGTGCCTTGACCTCATTCGAGGAGGCCCATGATGCGGCGTATCTGAACCGGGTTGGCAGGTAAACGCGGATCTTAGTTGATTCTTGGAAGACCGTAGATACCCGCGCGAGCAGTGCCTCGGTCTTCTGCACGGTGTTGGAAATGTGCTCCTCGAAGACTAAAACGAACATGAGTGGTCGGAAATGATGGGCTTCTTCAAGCGACTGTTTTTCGTATTGTCCGATCAGAATGTCGCTCATTTCATTGATAAAGACCGAACGGGCCTTGCTTAATGCCTCAAGTGCCTTCTCACAGCGTTGCTGTAGCTGCTCACGTTCAGCCTGGGATGGCCTTTTGAACCAGCGCCGACAATTCACCAGGTGAATACACTCTTGCACAACGCTCAGCCCTTCCGCACAAGCATCTATGGCCGTCGCGCTTGTCTTGACCAGCTCTTGGACGACCTCCTTGCGCAGCGGGTGGCTGTCCGGGCTGCGGAATCCATCCAGCAGTTGTGCAAGCTGTGTGAGCTGATGCGCGCCAACCTCGCGCGTATGTTTCTCATCCTTGTCCGGAGTCTTATCAACATACTTACGCAGCACATCCTGCGTGCGAGCCTGCCCCACGATCCGGCCAATGTGGAAATCGAGAAGGGATAGAACTGCAACAAGTACGTCTCGCAAAGGGCCCTGGAAGGAGGCGACATCTTCAGCCCCCCAACAGCCTACGGAAAAGTCCAGAGGCAGAAACGCCAAGGATGGCTCCATGCTTTTATACTTCTGGATGATCCCAGCCAGGATCATGCGCAAATCGTCAGGGTTCGGTTGTTCGTCCTTCTTGCAGAGTGTGTTTGCTGTCATTGCCAGTGGGACTTGGAGGAGTCGGACGATATCCTCCATTCCATCCAAAACCACATGCGATGTTGACTGGGGAAAGAAGAGGATCGAGCATGCTAGACCAAGCCCGACCCCAATTGCTGCGGGTTTGACGAGAGTTAGGGGTAGAGTTCCTGAGAAAGAGGGTAGAAGTGGGGTGTAGTTCAGGAATAGATCCGAGATGATAATGCCAAATATAGCTGTCAAAGTTGCTTTGGGATTGCTGGCCCGAAGACGCGCCTGTATATTCAGTATAGCCCATTGCCCTTAATCGGAGAATTACCTACCATGAAATAAACAAACGTGCAGATGAGGCAAAACGTCACGGCAGTGACGCGCGCATCCAGCATGTACCCTTCGTAAACCAATCGCTGCGCTATTTCAGTAGCGGAGTAGGTCGAATTCTGGGCCTGTGACACCGCCGTCTGCTGCAGGGCGGCCACTTTAGCCTGCGTCTCGGCCGCTGGTCTAGCTGCCTGAGCAGCCTTCATGGTGATGACGCCCCATGCCCAAGCCAGACAGATACCGATGAACAACGACAGGGCACCCAGAAGATAGACGAATACGATTCCGGATGGAGGTAAAAATAATAGAACGAGGCTATAAGATGTTTAGCATATCAACGCGACCTGCGCATTGGGACAGATGCATACCCTGCGAAGAAGGTTGCAGTGCCGATGCTTTCCAGCGAGGGATGGATAAAGATCAACAAACAAGCCACCCAGACGGCGACCCAGCATCGAAAGAAGATCTTGAGATCGCGAGCATTGAAATGGTCCAGAAAAGGGGGTAACCGGCGTTTCTTCTCGGCAATGACGGGAGGAGCACTGTCCGAATCCGACCATGTCGGGGGGGATTCCTGCGTGGTTCGTTCGTCGGCCATAATGGCCTCGGGCTGTTTTGCTTGGCTTTAAATGGCCCACGTGGGCATGAGGGCTGATGGGAGAAAAGAAAGGAAATTTAAAAGAGAGAGTCGAGAAAGGGAAAGCAAAGAAGCAAGGGATGCAATGTGAATAAGAAACGAACGACGGAGACGGAATGGATGCACGAGAGAAGAGGTTGACAGGCCCGGCGTCGATCACGAGGGGAATCGGTTGGCATTTGAAGGCCCTGCCGGCAAATATGTGGCACCGCAAAAGGAGTGGCCATTATCGCGATTAGAGTTAAATAGATCGGTTTATCTTAACCAGGGCCGTTGGTCGTTCCATGGATGGTCGGGGGTGTCCGGAAGGTGTTTGCCTGAAGGATTGCCTGAAGGATTGCCGAGGATGAGCTGGAAAGGAGGTTATGCAGGACTCAGTCTGATGCTGATGCTGATGCCATTCGCGTCCTGTTCCTCCATGTCATTACTGCCAATTCTCTTCTCGACAGCAGTAACAGGGATGGTGGACTTGCCGAGCGAGTGATCGACAGAGGGTTAATTCATCGTGACGCCCATGGATTGACACTAGGTTCAGCTGTGGGGCCGAAACTGGACATGACCCGAATCCGAGGCGAGTCTGGAACTACAGGAGACCGACTATCTGACGAGGATAGGCAGGTCGCTGTATGGTGTCGTGGTCGAAGCTGCTATCTATCCCAGTTCTCCACTCGTAAGGGTCCATACTATTGTCCCTGTTGCACGTGTCTCGAAGTCTAAAGAATAGCAATTAGCCTTGGTGAACATGACATACCAGTCTTAGGTGGATAGAAACCTTAGAGCTTGATACCAGAATGGTTGCAATGGGGAGGGACGATGAGAAGTTCTTGTATGCTACAGAGACATACTATCACGGGCCTGTTTGCGCTGTATGTCTGCTTTGTCTACTGGCGTGATGCCCGACCGTCACGTCTCAACCCTCAGGACTACAGCTGCGCAATTTCAGGAGTACAAGCACTAAAGCCGAAATTCGTATTAGAATTGCTGAAAAACGCTCATCTTAAGCATCGCACAATAGCATCGAAAAATATGCACAATGCATAAACACAAGCTGGGTTCTAATTGTATGCTCCCCACCAACCATTCACGCTCCAATCATACCATCATACCATTATCCAGCAAGCTGCTCGACGCCACGAAGCTAAATCCACCGAACAGCTCGCCTTCACCGGGGTGACTGGCTGGTGGACCGGACGCCCGGGCTGCATAGTGGTCGTCGAACGCGTGCACGATTGGACTCAGCGGAAGCTGCGTGAAATCCATCGAAAAGTTCTCCGCCAGGGCTGGGTCCGTCACCACCGGATTGATGGGAGGCGCCACCTCCCTACGCTCCAGCGCCTTCCAGTCGATCTTTCGGAAGAAGCGGTGGTTCTTGATTGTCTGCAAGTCCTTGGGCATGTGATATCCCAGTCGCTTCGACGGTTCCTTGCGCAGCAGTCGAGTCAGCAGGTCCTTGGCATCGGGTCCCAGGAAATAAGGCAGAGCCAGCTTCTGTTTCACAATCTTCTCCTGCAGCTTGGCGTTGTTGTTGGCTTTGAAGGGAGGAGATCCGGTGAGCAGGTCGTAGCCCAGCGCGCCCAGTGACCACCAGTCACAGGCTTTGCCGTACGACTTGCCCTGCACGACCTCCGGGGCCATGTACTCGATCGTGCCCAGCGAGGAGTTGCAGCGATCGTCATCGTTGATGGCAATCTTACTGAGTCCAAAGTCCGTCAACAGCAGATGACCCTCGCTGTCCAGCAGGCAATTCTCCGGCTTGAGGTCGCGGTAGATGACCCCGACGTTTTGGTGGAGATGTTCGAGGGCCAGCACCATCTCTGCCATGTAGAAGGCGGCCGCGTCCTCGTCAAACATACGTTCCATAGCCAGGTGCGTAAACAGCTCGCCACCCTCCGCGTACTCCAGGATCAGATACAGTTTCTCGTGGTCCTGGAACGCGTAGAATAATTTGACCACAAAAGGGTGGCGGTTGACACTCTCCAGGATGGTGCGCTCGGTCTTAGTCTGTTCCACGAGCTTCTTGTGAACGGTGATCGATGCCTTGCGAAACTGCTTCTGCGCGTACAGCTTGCCCGTTAGCACATGGCGCACCAGCAATACAGTGCCGAACGACCCCTTCCCTAGGCAAAGGAGGGGCTCAAAGTCATCGGTGGTCATCTTTCGGCACAGCTGGGTACGCATATCCCGCACGCTTGATGTATTTCGCGAGTCTTCCTCGGCGGCCGCATCGGCGCTGACATAGTCGTGCTCCAGAGGTACCTCGTAGCTAGTCAGGACCTCCGTCTGATCACTATCTGAGCACACACTGGCGTTACTCGGGGTTTCAGCGGGGCCGGGTTGGGCTCCATTGCCGGACAGGCTCATAGATTCAAGCTGGAGTTTCAAAGCGCTCACCCCACAGCCAGCCGCGGGCTGGACCAACGGACTGCCCCCATTAGTCCCGGCACGAGTGCGCGGGTGTGAGCTCGGTGCACGAGAACTGGCAGCCGATCGGTCCGAGTCTTCATCGGCGGAGCCGCGAGGAGTAAACCCGCGCACGGTCGAAAGGGCTGGGGCGACTTCATGAACCGCGTGCTTTTTCTTCTTCTTGCGGCGGTCAGCCTTCGCGGCGAGAGGGTGTGCGTTAAGCTCTGGAGCCGGGAAGGGATTGCCACCATGAACACCAGGCCCCTTGATCATGGGTCCTTGCTTGCGCTGGGGGCTGCGGGCGCTCATACGAAAGCCGGTTTCCGGAGCGTCGCTCATATTGATCTCCTTGTGCGAATGCGACATGTCGGCTTGCGGACTGAACACATCACTGACTGAGATGTCATCGTGACTAGTAGTATTCGCCGAGGAATCCATTGTGTCGTGGACTTCTTTTCGGATATCTCTCTATTCCCGTAATTGACCAAGCACGATCCAGCAGCCGTCCGACCAGAACGGCAACAGCACGATGCGTAAGCCAAGGGCGATCAAATGCACCCAGGCATCGACAAAGCGAGGCACTCCTCTAGTTGAGGTCTAGTCAAAGTAATCTAATAATACAAACAGAGAGGTCAGTTTTTTGTTTTTCTTTCCACGCCCCTACACGCATATCCACACACACGCACACGCACAAGCGCGGGGTATGCACGGAAAACCCTAAATTTCCATATGCAAGGGGGAGTCAAGGGTCGATCGGAGTAGCGTACACTTGGTAGCACACAGTCCGAGAGGGCTAAGCGACCCAGCAGGGAAGTTACGCGGCAGCCTGCAAGATCTCTCGGATATAGCACCTATTTACCGTCCGCCCTTGTTCAGGACGGACCATGGACCCTAAGCCAGAACACCTTGTCGTCGGAGACGGAGTGAGCGGACGACACGGCCGAGAAGCCAGTCGAGGAGGAAATATCGAGAGACACCGAGGAAGAGGAATTCGAGTCGAGGGTCAGCAAACGAGAGCGGGGGAAGCGGATAAAAGCGGACGACGAAATCGAGGGCAGCGCAGACAAGCACATAGAGGAACGGCTAAGACGAGGATGATCGAGATAGCAGGGGGAGGTGAAAATGAGTCTCCGGGGAGCAGGCACAAGAGGCACAGCGAGGATTTTAAAAACCGGGTGATGATCCCTTTTTTAAGAAGAGAGGGAGAAGGAGAAGAAGAAGAAAGTGAGAGCTGACTTGGATTTGCTTGGACAAACGGGAAAAGAAAGCTGCCCGCCCGCCTCGGCGCTGAGTGTATTTTTCCCGGCCCGCAGACCAATCAGCGTGTGCCGGTGCTAAGCGACGCTAGACTCAATGGGGCAGGATGACTTCACGTGTTGCGGTCATTGGAGGATGGCACCTGATTGCCCGATTGGGCAATCCGGGGAAGCTGCTGCCTGAGGAACCATGGCCACTAATATTGTGTACGATGGAGTACTTGAGTGGCTATACCACAGTTCGTATTTAAGATGGAGGAGAGAAGGTAAAAGGCGTTATCACAGTATTTTGTTATAGAGTTACTTACTTACTGTAGCTTATGCAGGGGTAGTAGATCTACCCGACGGGCTATAAACTCCACCCGCTGAACCAACTATTTGGTAATTATTTTGTACTAGAGGTTAAGATCCATCCAAAACCCCCTGCAGCCTTTCATGCATCTCTCCCTTCAAAAAAGGCCTGCGACCGAGTGATTTCTACCCCCGATCCCTCCACAAATGCCAGCGCACTGGGCTTTTCAACCCGCACCGTCACCCGTTCATTCCCGAATTCCACTGTGACAATGCGAGCGACAAACGTCGCCAAGGCCTCCACCGTCTGGAAAGAGGTGGTTTCGACCCGCTAGAAATTTGTAGACTGGATTAGCCTAGCACTCATGGAAGAAAAGCACAGACACATCGAAGAAGAACTCACCTCAGCGACAGCCCGGGTCATGGCTTGGTACGTATTGATCACCGTAGATCCCCAAGGCAGCTGTCCGGGTCCCTTAAATTCCAAAGAGACAATGACCGCCTGTTTCTCCACCCTCTCGTGAGAGTTGACGCCCAAGATACAGTAGCACCGGATCCCATCAATGCGGAACTCCTCCTCCAGGACGACCGGACAGCGCTCCGACTCTCCCACATCGTCCGTAACAGCCTCATTAGCCTGGCGGTACCCCCACACCGTCACACTCCGGTACTTGAGTCCTTCGTCCGCACGTAGCAATGCCTTGGGGAGATGCAAAGACACCTCACATTGGCCGAACACCCCATCAATAGGCGAAGTCGAAGATGAACTGAAAATAGCAGCCAGAGCCTGAGACTGCGAGCCCGCCGAAGCACTGCTTCTCCGCTGGGTGTTGTGTACGTGCGACATCCTACGGACCCCAGCAGCAGTCTCATCCAACAGTCCAAGTCCACAATGAGCCACAATCCCGGCCGTCAAACGCACATCCTGTCCCACATCACTTGCCAACATCTCGTCGCGACGGCTCCCGTCGACACTAATCATTCGGTGTCCCGGGTTCTCGGGGTGCTTGCCCAGGTTACGGATATCCTCCTCGAGACGGCGGTAGAGCTTGCCGTAGTCCAAGGAGAGGGAGACATCGTCGGCAATGGCGGCGGCCACGGCGGAGGAGTAGGAGAGCTTCAGCGATGCCGTGCAAGGCTGCGATTTACCGGAGCGGTGCCATGGGTCCGGGGCAGCTGGGAGGGGCAGTTGGATGTTGCGGAGACGCACGCTATCCAGCACCGGGGGGTGAGATGGGATATGGACATTCACGCGTTGATCGGCCATGATGACTGTAGGATGGGCGACGGAGATATGAGAGGAGAGAGCTAGAACTAGTCAGTTCCTGGGGTACGAGCTCGAAGCTGCAGCTGCTGGAGTACCAGACAATCAATGGGCTGTTGTGACGTCAACCAGTAAGAGTGGAAGCCCCAGTCGAACTCTTGGTAGAGATAGCACCAACCAGATAAAGAAAGCTACCACTGCAGTCGCATGAATCAATTGGCCTTCCTGACTTTGAGATTCCGTCCCACCGAGGCGAAATTCTCAGACAAAGAGCTGCGCTGGAAGGAAATTTCGCGCGAGCTGCGGATGACGAGACGATGGCGGGGTTGGGTTTAGCGCGGGGAGCTGCTTTCATTTCTCGGGACCCACGCGAGTCACTTATAAGAATAACAAACTAGTAACTATGTACCCTACTTCCACGACCAACCAGCGTGGAAAAACTATATTTTGACTTGATTGTTGCACTATACACAATATCCCGGGGGGTGAAATGATCGACATCGTGGGTGATTACGTTAGATAAAAAAGAAAAGGCCAAGATCCATCCACATCCGCAGGTCCATCCGTACATTATGTGCAGGAAAGCCGTCCACACCGGCAAAGAAACAACCGACACGGCTGTCCACATACGCCTACTTTTGGAACCTCGAAAAACCATCCAGTCGGAGCCCGGAACCAGCAGGGCTAGAGATCATGGTCACATCAAGTGATGAAAGCAAGCGCCAGTGTCGTTCCGTAGTCCGTGTCAACCTGACACACGCATTCGTATCTGGGGCCGTGTTCAATCCAGAAGCTGACTCCGATTGGGGATTGTCAACTCATCCGGAGCGGCCATGAAAGGGAAACCAGTTCAACAAGAGAACAAAGGGGGGAAGCATGCACAATGGGTATCCGCCATGCGCTGAGGTAACACAACCAACGAGCTAACTACAGACGACTACCAGTATCCGCGGCGGTCGTAAGGCATGTACTCGCCCCGAGGTGGACTACGAGGCCGTCCATAAGGGCGAGGGGGGGCGTACGGGTCATCATAATGGCGAGGTGGTGGGGGTGGGCGGACATCGTAGGGGTCATCGTAGGGACGTCGCGGGGGAGGGTAGTCTTCCATCCGAGGACGGGGAGGAGTGCGGCGTCCGTATCCATCCCGGTCATAATAGTCCCTCCGAATTGGGATGGGGGAGCGTTCCCGATAGTGAGCACGGGGGCTGTAGCCACGCGGCGCAGGGAACCGCCGGTCATACTCATCCATGGGCGGGTAACTCCGACGAGGGGACCGAGATCGGTACGGGTCACGAATGGCACGTTCATCCGGGTAGGTTTGAATCTAGGAAGGGTATGAGGTTTTTCGTTCCACTCAGGTCATAGGTACCAGTAAAGTTGCTTACATCGGCAATGCAAGTTACGCGGGAGCCTTTGAATTCACGTCCGTCCAGCTTCTCAATGGCCGTCTTCAGGTCGTTGGCGGTCTCGAATTCCACGAATCTTAGGAGCATGTGTCAATGGGGTCCTGTCCGACCGGATAGGAAGTTGAAGGATTAACCCACCCTCTGCCGAGTTCACGGCCAGTTTCAGAGTAAACCACGTCCAAGCCAGACTGACGTGCAAAGTCTTTAAGATCCTAGATAACCCCAGGGTGTGAGTCCATATCCAGGTGCAAGAGTGGTACAGTGGTATCCGATATGTCCGGGTGCCAGCAAGTAGAAAAAATACAATATGGAAAAACAGGCCAGAAAGGGACCCAAGCGATACAGGGTATTAGGCGAAGGGATCCTTCGATGACTGCGGGGGCGTTCCATCCTGGACGGGGTTGTCCGGCCTCAGTTCTCAGCTCTCAGAGCTGGGGTTCGACCATGGGAGGCAGCCATCCAGCCTTCCTTTCAGTTAGGTGGGGTCCGAAAGTTGGTTGGTGAACGACCCATACATCATGAGGAGCTGATCATCGTCGCCAGGATTCCCTTGGGCCGTAGGTGGAGTAACATAGAATGGAGTACAGGGAAAAGATGAATCAGGGAACGCAAATCGGCCGAGATGCAAGGCGTCCGGTGGATCCAGAAGAAAGGGGACTTGGGCTGCTAACCTGCCAACTTGTTTCCGGGAGTCCAGAAACCATCATGCGAAAGATCGTGCGACGCGGACGAGGCATGTTGGGACGGTCCATTGGGCCAGGGAAGTTCTCCTTGCGGCGCGGTCCACGGGCAAATTGCACGGTGAGGCGCTCGCCTTTGAAGTCACTGCCGTCTGCATGGAGAGTTAAGTCAACCATGAAGATCTTTGGAATTGGTGCTCGCGTTGGTACATACGGAAGGCTAGATAATCGTCCTGCGTTAGCATGGTCACGCGACAGCTAGGGCGCAAAACAGGGTGACTTACCGGGTACAACATCTCTAGCATCCATCGCATCCTCGTATTCGATGAAACCGAAGCCATTCATGAGCTTGATTTCTGTAATCTTTCCGGAACCATGGGTGCTGAAATGTTCCTCGATATCCTGTTTAGTCACTGTGAAAGAAACCCCACTAATGGCGCCCACCCGGGGCGCCGTGAGTAAAATGTCAGCCTATTGCGAATGGATATGAAATAACAATAACCGAAACAACTTGGATATGGTTTCGAAGCTGCCAACCCGGTATCCGGAAAACTGAGATTACCGTGATACAGGCAAGGAAGATTGAAACAAAAAAGAAGGAAAATCTGCCATCAAGCTCCGGAGGGGTGAAAACCTCGGTGACTCAGGGAGGTCAATCCAGACGCATGGCGATCCAGCGGAATGTCCCGATTTTCTGTGTCGAAGATAGAGGTGGGCAAGAAGGGCAACATCCAGAGCGGGTTGAAGAGAAAACAAGGAGACCTAAGGAGAGTTTGTAGATGGCTTCATACCATTGCGGGGGAGATTCCCGAGATAGAGTCGGGTGGACGAGACCTCAGTCATGGCGGGTAGTAGTAGATGGCGAGAGATAGGACTAGCACAGCGCGCACAATGGTCGAGGTGTAATCCGTCCAGGCGGATCAACAAGCAAATCGCAGTCGCAACGCTTCTGGCCTTGCGGGAACGTGGTTCACAAAAGAAAATTCCGAATCAATGATGGTACAGGCGACCGAAGGGGAAGCAGATCCTTGAGGGGTCAAATGGGTCGTGATCCTGGGCAATCTAGAGCTGGAAGTTGTAATGGCGGCAGTATTCAGCAAAGAGATAAGTCCTGGTGTTTATCCGGGGAATGCGAGGACCATAGAACGGTTCCAGAAGGTAACGGTGGGCCTGACTGATTAGGGAAGCAAGGAGAGGATAGTTTGGTACGCTGAGGGGACAGCTGAACCAGAGATGTAGTAGCTCTCAGGTAAGAGCTGACTTTCACGCGCGCGCGCACACACACACACACAAACGGGACTGGAAGAGGGTTAGACGGTGACGGAGATCCGGTCGAGCGGGAGAAGGAGAGCGGCAGCACGGGAATCCAGGGAAGCGCTGGGCAAAGAGAGCGAGACAGGCAGGATCAGAAGAAGATGAGGGAGAAAGGAGAGTTTTGAGGGCGAATGGACCGGGTCACAGCAGGGAAAAGAGGAGAAGCGCGAACTGATTGGGAGAGGCTGACCGCCCTGCCAAACCAGAAATCCGGGTGGAAATGGAAATTCAACTTGATGCTGGCGGTGGGAAGGCACCCAATCAGAAGCCGCAGTCTGGAATCGCCTCACTTTGTTTCCCTCGGCGGGATCCACGTGGCCCCGCCTGACCTTTTTCTGTAGTACTTTGTCCACTATGTCACTCTCTACTAGACTACTACAGAGGCAGTGCTGTTGCCCATATTTATTAGTTAAGGAGATTTGTGCTGAGCAGTCGATCTACATTGACTTTACTTAAAACCTATAAACCAGCACCACTACTCCGGTACAGCCCTGCTGCATCCCTCTATAATTATCTCGGCTTCAGCCCACTCGGGTGGCCCGGTCAAGCTTCCTACTAAAGTAGCTGAATGCTTTAGTCGTTTCAACATTCTACTTTGTACTAGGTAGAATACGTATAGCACCAATAGTATATTGGGCAATGGTAGCAGGAAGTACAATGATATCACTATGTATATCATATCAATAATTGAAGCCTTCCTATCCAAGTTAACTCCTTTGTAGTTTACTGTTTAACATCTACCCCATACTAATATATTAATGTAGGAAAAATGGAACCTCCACTAAATCTGCACTGGGTTTAGTCCCTGCCAAGCAATTAACAAGGCTGTCAGTCCTGCAGGGATGGCAGTCGCAGCTGAGATTCAGCTCCAATGAATACGACTGATCTCATCATCAGGCAAAGTGATGCATATTTGCCACAGGGTGGCTGGACAAAATTACATTGCAATCTTATATATTTGCGTTGATGCAATAGGATCTACCTGTGATTATAGTCAGCCTTTCAATCACACAACAAAAGAAATTGGTTTCATAACATTGTGGACTATGCTAGTTAACGACGATGACGTTCTGGCTTTGATCGGCATGGACATACTTTGTAAATTTGCACAACATATGTATACTAAGCAGGCAGTCTTTGAGATAGCACACCTACAATGAATATCCTTGACTATAGCTATTACTGCCACCAGTACATGGATGAGATAGTATCTTACTTTTATCTCTGAAGAACACCAGATCCCTTCGCATTGTATTTAATTGCGCACTAGTCTACCCAGTGTGCCAAAAATGATATGGTAGAATCTTGCCATATCATGAAGCGGCGAGTGTTGATAATATACTAATGCTGAGTCTTCTGGACGCTTTGCCACTGAACCGGATACGGAAAGTCCTCACAAATTGCTATATTTGACCGGCCAATCTTTCGTACACAGCAATAGTGAAGCTATTCATATTATGCTAGCCACTGAGATGCAGGCGTAACGCTTTTAGAATGCTGTTATGCATTACGTGTTTGGCCGAAGCCTACAGGACGTATGCCGCATTTCCGGCGTACAACAGTTTACAGACAACACATCACCGCAATATATTCGGCATCTGAACAAATTATACTTTTGCGTGTAGCAATCAGATGCTGGGGTGTAGTAAGGTATCATGCTAAGTAGCGGACATAAAGCGAATCGCAGCACCACGTCCCAAGGGGTATAAAGAATAAAAGACACGCGGCGATCCAAACTAAAGGAGAAGAAACGGAAGAAGAATAGAATGTATAACCCAATGGTGTGCTTGATTTCAACATGTCCTCGGAGGCATGAGCTTCCGTTCCTCCTTCTTATGTCTGCCCTCCTGTAAGCTACTTTCAACTGCCGCAGTCGTGGACAGTTGGAAGAGACCACGCAGTATGTTATGCCTGGTCACCCCACCCCCCTACAAGCTTGTACCCTGGTATCCCAACAATTTGAGATACACGGGATAGGCAGGTAAAAGAACGCAACATATCGACCTTGCTGTATATACGCCTTCCAACTTTATGTCCATACCAGGTGGCAAAGTCTTCAACCAAATGGCGAGCCTCCCGACAGCCTCTTTCTTCACGAGCCTCGCCAGATGGACACTAAGGCAGCTCTGGGCGTTGTGGCAATAGACCTCGGGCCCACTTTCCGTGTTTTCAAGGCGAATGATGGCTTCTTTGGCGAGCATAATCGACTCTCTATCCTAACCCTCCTGACCTTCCTCGGGTTCGTTATAGAAGCCAACATACCAGTTCAAAATCTGTATGACGTCGCCGGCATAACCAAGCATGCCCAGGGGGGGCGTAGCCTGTCAGCTAAGTCGAAACAATTGAGACGTTCGAAAGCGTTTCGCAGGTGTCGTTCCTGTCGCTGCATTGACAACACTGGGTTGAGATGTAGGGATCAAAATGTGATACCGTGCATTGGTTTTAGATGGTATATTGGCTGGTGCGGTTAATATAATTAAAATTGGCGATTTCTAGACAGCGATGACACTTTCTCTGGCGTCTGGCGACCTCCGAGATGGTTTAGATTGTATAGTACTCTTGATGTCGACTCATACGGCGAGTGAGACTTCAGCCCCACGTATAGTCTTGTGAGATAGTAGTAATCGACAGATAGAATACCAAGCTTGTCGCTATTGGTCATGTCGTATTGGTAGTTGTTGCTAGACATAAGGTGGAATATGTTGACAACGGTGTAGGACATATGTACTTCTTCTCCCTACATTATTTTCGACAAGAGCTAACTTGGCTTTATCCTCCAAGCTATTTAGAAAATATGTCAGAACATACATGGGAATAGTAGGAATAACCAAGAGGAGTCGCCGCTACATGAAATCGAGACAGATGGAAGAAGTAGAGAGATGAGTTATTTTCCTTATCATATCACATGAATGCAACTAAAATGGTAACACTGTCTAGAAAGCAGCATATCTATGAAGTGTGCAAAAATGGGGTATTATGGGGATGCATGGTCCAGTGCAACGGTAAAGGGTATGAAGCCATAGTCTGCACTAATAGACACCGGAGAGGCTCCACTTATGAAGAAACGATCCTAGTAGGGCCCTAAGCGGGGATCCCTGCAGCACAGAGCACTAAACAGTCAGGATACATAAAAGGGCATTCGTTCGGAGGCTACGCTTCACATGAAAATAGCTCTCCTTAGGGGTATGCCGGAATCACGTGCAGATGAATTATCTGGGCGATTTGTTCTCTTATTATATTAGGGTTGAGACATTCTGAGAGTGTTTGGCAGGTCGCAGAGCTGTCATTGGATGTTTGGTTTGCAGATGATCATAGTAGTTAATACGTAGTTTTCCAGGTGTGGGTGATCTTTCTACCGGCACATCTGTCACATCAGCAGCAGCAGTAGTCGTAGTAGTAGTAGTAACTATTGCCGATGCCAACCCTGACTTCAATATTAAAGAGCCGGCATTTGGTACAAGAGATTTACCAGCACTCTGACGTTGACTCCGTGGTGGATTCGCTCAGATGGAGAGTGGCGGCCATGATATATCCGAAGACGGCTATCCACTCGGTGCATGTGTCGAAACTCGATACTTAGTAGAATATCATATCCGACGGGATTGACGGCAAACCCGCGGGCTGAGCGGCAAGCGTGCAGTGATTCCCATCACCGAACCTCCTATTGGTCGACATAGCCTCGGGTAGTCCCAAGGCAGGCCAAGTTCTGCCCGCAACCTCCAGCACCCACCGCCAAATTTTATCCCACGGCCGCCATATTCTTAGTCACCTTCTCCATTGCCGGTGACGGAGAGGGGACTTACTTAGCCTACTTACTCTTCTGATCTGGATCCCACGCTTGAAAGTTGCTTCTTCCTTCTCCTTCACCATCCGCTTGGTGCCATTCCTGCGCCCTCCTCGTTCGCCACTCCTGTCTCTATTGCTTTGCCCCATCCTACCATGCAGTTGTCTCATTTATAGGAGCTCCCCATTCAAGCAACACTACTGTGACTTCTCCTCTCCTACCTTGCTCCCTTTCCGAATCTCCGCCATGGCTTCGAAAGGAGCTGTCATGCCTCTTCTGAGGCGCGAATTGCGACCCACTTGGTCGCGATTCTCCAGATCCTCCACCTCTCTCGCCCCCTTCAGCAACTCCGCCCGAATCTCGAACAGCTCCCTCGCAGCGTCCGGCAAGCGTGCCATTCGTCGCACCTCGTTCTTCCCGCCCGTTCAGACTCGAGCCTTTTCGCAATCACTATCCCGAAAGCTGACTGATGAACATGGCAACTTTGATCCGCGACAGTTGGACAGAGAGTCGGATGAGGTCGATGTCTGTATCGTCGGTGGTGGTATGTAGAATGGCCCGGACCTCTTTCGTTTGGCGTAGAGAGGTATGCATAGGATTCAGTAACTAACCGACTGTCTTTATTACAACATAGGCCCTGCTGGTCTGGCTGCTGCCATTCGATTGAAGCAACTCGCCAATGAAGCCGGCAACGAGGAGTTCCGTGTCATCGTGTTGGAAAAGGCCGGTGAACTCGGTGCACACGTCTTGTCGGGTAACGTCCTGGAGCCTACCGCCATGAACGAGCTGTTGCCAGATTGGTTGTCGGAAGATAATCCGTCTCGCTTCGAGAATGTGACTCCGGCGAAGGAGGATAAGATGCGCTTTTTGACTAAAAACTCGGCCATTCCGATCCCTGCGCCGCCACAGATGAACAACCACGGCAACTACATCATCAGTCTGAACGAACTTACGAAGTGGATGGGTGAAAGGGCCGAGGAATTGGGTGTTGAAGTATACCCCGGATTTGCGGCCAGTGAACTCGTTTACAAGAAGTCGGATGGATCGGTTCTCGGTGTGGCCACCAATGATTTGGGTGTTGGTCGCGACGGCAAGGCCAAGGACAGCTTCGAGCGGGGCATGGAGTTCCACGCCCGCGTGACCCTTCTAGCTGAGGGTTGCCATGGTAGCTTGACGAAACAGGTGATCAAGAAGTACGACCTGAGACGCGATAGCCAGCCCCAAACCTACGGTATTGGTGTCAAGGAAATTTGGGAGATCCAGCCCGAGAAGTTCAAGCCCGGAGAAATCACGCACTCCTTGGGATACCCCCTTCCTAGCGACACGTATGGTGGCGCGTGGATGTACCACTTTGGCGACAACATGGTCAGCATTGGCTTGGTGGTTGGGTTGGACTACCCGAACCCCTGGCTGTCGCCCTACGGCGAGTTCCAGAAGCTCAAGCACCACCCTCTGTACAAGGACGTCCTCGAAGGTGGAAAGTGCATCTCGTACGGTGCACGAGCTCTCAACGAGGGTGGATTCCAGTCGATCCCGAAGTGCGCTTTCCCGGGAGGAGCGCTTATTGGTGATAGTGCCGGTTTCTTGAACGTTCCGAAGATCAAGGGTACCCATTCCGCAATGAAGTCGGCCATGCTTGCTGCCGAATCCGCCTATGCGGCCCTGCAGGGCAGCTCGGATGGCTCTGTATTCCTGTTCGACTACGAAGAAGCTCTGCGCAAGTCGTCTATCTGGAAGGAGCTGTACGAGGTGCGTAACATGCGGCCCTCTTTCGGCACGCCGCTGGGTCTTTACGGCGGTATCCTGTACTCTGGTCTTGAAGCATACGTTCTCAAGGGCAAGGCTCCCTGGACTCTGAAGCACCACGGCACGGATGCTGCTGCGACCAAGATGGCCTCGGAATGCAACAAGATCGAGTACCCCAAGCCCGACGGAGTGATCAGCTTTGATATCCTCACCAGCGTCAGCCGCACCGGTACCAACCACGAGGAAGACCAGCCAGTGCATTTGCAGGTGGAAGACTGGGACAAGCACACCGATGCTGCCTGGCCCAAGTACCAGGGTGTTGAGAACCGCTTCTGCCCTGCCGGTGTGTATGAGTACGTGGAGGACTCTAGCAAGCCTCACGGCGTTCGCTTCCAGATCAACTCTCAGAAGTAGGTCAAACCCAATTGCTCTTACTGTTTCTCTTGCTAACTAGTCATAGCTGCATTCACTGCAAGACCTGTGACATCAAGGTCCCTACCCAGGATATCAACTGGCAGACTCCTCAAGGTGGAGAGGGCCCGAAGTACTTTATGACTTAGGCCTAGCGTTTCTTCAACACTTACATATTTCTTTCTACCCTTCATCAGGGCACAAAAAGGATTGGATGGATAAGAGTATCCATTGTGGCGTTGGTTATTAATGTTTGATCATGTTTTGTTTCCGGGCCGGTGGATGCCTGTTACGTTATTGCGTGTTGAGCCCGGACGGGGCCATGTATATATAGTTGTACTTCATAGTTTGCGGTGACGATGAATACTGAGTATACCGTGTTACTCGGGAATAAGCTGCGTATCTCGGCGTAAGCTACCTGATAAGCAGCAAATATGTCTAGATAATGTTCAAGCTGAATGCTGAGGCAGCTAAAGCAAATCTGATGGTAGATGTGCTACTATATCACAACGAGCCTAGCAACCTCACAGCTAATCCATGATGGCTCTCCCACGAGCATATGCCTTGCATGATGTAACCAACCAACACATGCAAATGACAAGCATCCAGGAACACACCTCCGTAAATACTCCCGAATTCCATCATCACCCATCACGCTCCCCAAAGCATCTATCCCCTAACCTCACAACACCGTCATACACGCCCTAACCCCCGCAACTACCAGTCCATTAACGCTCTAAAGCACCAATCCAGACCAAACCTTCACGGAACACAGTTCAGAAAGAAACTTAATCACTGGAATGGTGCGACACGGTTATAAAAGGCGCACATCCGTCTCCGAGTCCCAAATCATCACGACTATCAAGCCTACTACGACCAAACTCACCATCACCATCACCATCACCATCATACAACAACCGTCAATAGCAAACACGGTCTCTAGTACTAATTCCACCAGCATGCCATCAACTCGAACCCTAACCACCACCCCTCGTCCCTCCTCTCCAATGGACGACGAAGACGTCGTAGAAGTGGTCGACTCCACTTCATCTTCCTCATCCCCTCCATCCACCCGCCTCATGGCCGTCGGAAAATGCAAAGCGGAACTCAAATCCGGCAATATAGGCCTAGACTGTCTCTGTACACGGGGAATCTTTTCTCTATCCCAAACCAACGATATCAGCGATAAATGCATTGACTGCGAGCACTCCATCGCAGATCACGAAGGCATTGATATCGAAAACGATATCCAACGAAAAGGCATGTCCCTTCTTCCCCTCTATCCCTATCCCATATAACCATCCCCAAACCAACAACACCAATATCTAACAATGAGGGGAAAAAAAGGAGACCCCCGGCACACAACCCTCACCAAACTCACCAACCTAATGGACCTCTACCCCCTCCTCTACGTCCGCGGCATCCCAGACAGCGGCAAAGGAACCGTGAACCAATTCCGGCGTGAAAACATCATGCTAATGACGCGGGAGCAAGAAGCAAACAGCTTCTTTCTTCCTGTGGATAAGCCGCTGGAGGAGTTCGACTCTGAGGATGATCGTCTCCTCACGCAGATTTTGGGCTCGTTTAATCGCCTGTGTAATGATCCGCAGATCTTCTTCCTGGTCATTTATTTCTTGACTCTGTCGGCGTGGTTAAGTGATCGGTTTATTAAACAGGTGGTTTTGCCCTATTTGCCTGCGCCGGGGGCGGGCATGAGGGGGTTGAGATAGTGAACATTTCACTATGTACTAGTTACGTTGGTAGTAGGTGGTTTTTTGGGTGTTGGGAGGTAGGTGGGGGAGATATAAAATGAATGGTAGTACTTCTTGTTCAATGCGAAAGTGGGTGTTGTTTAGGTTTGGACTGTAATGAAGAGTTTCTTGTGTTGTAGTAGTAAAGTTGTTGTAATTGTTGTGAAGTACTGTAGGGATGTATACAACTAGTTGATTATATATAGTTCCCAAAACGGTAAAATCACCACAAAAAACCGGTGTACTGACGATCCACGATAACCATAAACCAATCGAAACTAACTAACTATAGAATGTATATCTTAGTTACTTCCTACTGCATCAAGTATGCAGTAACCGAAAAAAGGGGGTGTCAACGTGACCGACAGATGATGTTGATCACATGAAAAAGGGCGAAAAATAAAAAAACAAAAACAAACAACCCTATGACGCCAAGCTCCCGAATGCGAAAGCGATGCTGCTTTTGCCGCTTGCCGAATAAGCAAAAGCAAAGCAAGCAAGCGACAAGTAACGCTGACAGCCCATGTGATGGATGTTCACTACTACCGACCGACTTTTTCTATTTATTCCATTTTGCCCCATGTTGCATAGATTCCTATTTTGTGACATCTCGATCGCTATTGTATACAGTAAGCTGATTCTTCACTTGGGCAACATTTAATACCGACGGAGTGGTACGGGATCATTCTAGTCATGATGTCCTCCGTCCGGCATATACCCATGGTAAAGCAAAAAGTGAAAATCGACTTGAAACAGGATCCATCCCACACCAACCATTCTATCACAGTTTAGATATTCCGGGGAGGCTGAAGGTGGTGCGGTAACAAACTTAGATGGCAAAAAAAGTATGGGAAAGGCCACCTGGCCGGATTACGTATTGAACACGGCTGTAGCCGCTGCCTGCCGACCGACCGACCGACAGTTGAGTCAAAAAGTCGCGTCGCGGAAGTTTTCCCATCAAAAGCTGAGATTTGAGTTGCGCGTGAAAGCGATAACCCTTGTCGAGGCTATTTCCGTCCCCTGCACTAAAATTGAATGAACACCGACCGCAGCGCAAGGCTACGATCGGAAGGGCAAGATTTGTGGATCAAAGGCTGGAAATTGCCTGAGATCTACTATAAGTTGTCTGGGGTATGTTATTATGGTATGGAACTTGGCTGGAAAGCGGCAAGTCAAACACCAAATGAGAGGCGAGAACAGCCTCGCGCGGGATGAACCCCATGACGCGACCGACGACGCGACCGGCGCGTACCGGGATGAGCGACCTCACGACTGGTCAACTTTCTTGGACAAACAGAAAAACTGTGACTCAAGAATGAGATTCATCGATTTGCTAGCCGTTGATGATAGCTGTGACTGTCATCGTGTGTTAGTAGTGATCTGTTAGAATGTTTTGGAATCATCTTGATGATCATCGATGAATCAGGCCCAACAAAAAGAAATCTTCCCCAAAGGCTGTATTTTTGGGCTCGGAAGAAAGAGATCAGGAAGAGTGAAAGGGATCGAAGAAATTTTTGTTCAGTTGGCAACCGCTAAAGCGGCAAGGCAAAAGAAAAGAAGAAAAAAAAAAGAAAAGGAAAAAAGAAGGAGTGAAGGGGAAAAAGCCGAGAACAGTAAGGCGGAATGATTGGTAGACTGAAGAATGGATGGACTGGAAAGTGGGTCAGAGTTATCAGTTGCAGGAGCGACGCGGACTGGCTGGGGAGATGAGTGGCTGCAGGCCTGCAACCCCAGCGTAAGGGGGGCGACAGCCAACGAGAACGAACGCAGGTGTGGTGAGTGGAGTCGCCGATCAACAAACCAGAGATGACGGAATGGCGCTTGGCCACCCAAGAGCCGCTAGTGGAGGCGCTAACACGCAGCGAGCAGTGCCAGAGCGGCCACTTCCATGGGTGAAAGCGAGTGGAAAGCGAGTGAAAGCGACCGCTCGTCGCTGCTTTTGCCGCCGCCGCCGGGCCCAGCCCCCCCTGACGCCAGCTGCGCCCGGGCGCTGTGACTCAGCCTATATAAAGGCCCAACCTCCCACTTTCCTGTCGCTGTTGGAATTTTTGATCCTGGTCTTGGCACCGCCCGGAAAGCCATACTGTCCTCTCTTCCCGCCCGCCATCCTCCCCTCCCCTCCCTATACACTCTCTCCACACTCACGTACGGTTTGCAGAGATTACTGCTGATATCAGCTGTTTTATATCTCTGCTATTAACCTGCTGGATCTAAACACATTTCCGGGAAGAAGAATTTTTAGGGAAGCCAAGAAAAAAAAGAGTATCAAATCGGGAAAGAAAAATTCTTTTCTTCCCTTTTTCTCTTTTTTCTTCTGAACTCCAAACCGTTATCAGTCCCCGTTACTGAAACAGGAAGTTTGCAGCCTCAGGTGTGCATCTTCGCCACTCTCTCTCCAAATCGCAGATAGACATTCCCAATTCATACAAAAACCAAGAAAAGCAAACAAAACACACGCACCTCCCCTCTCAAAAAAAAGTTGTGTCATCTACCACAAAAAAAAAACAACGTGCTTTTTCTGTCATCTCACACTCCCTTCCTCTTCTGCACTTGTTCACTTACTTCCATCCATAAGTTTGTGAACGCTGCTGCTCTTGAGTTAATCTTCTCTAGAAAACACTTGACTGTGCTTTTCTAGTCCCCTGGTTGCTGCCTTGTTCTCCCTTCCCATCCACCCTATCCTCCTTCCTCCACGGCGGCTTTTTGTCATCGCCTGTCACATACCTCTGCACTCCACCTTGACTTCATTCCGTTTCGTCTTCGAAACGGTTTATTGCTTGGATCCCAAGGCAGTATTGCTGCAGGGGAGACATTGACTTGTCCATCTCCCGCAAAGGGTACGTTGTTCTCTTCACTTGGTCTTGACCTCACTTGTCTTGCCTCTCCAGGCAGACATCTCAAGTACCTGTCGCTCCTGAGTGTCTTTTGAGCGTCATCTCCATCTGTCACTCACCTTGTCTGTCCTCTCTTGACTGACTTTGAGCTCCGCGTCTACACAGACTGCTATCTGAAAAAAAGCTTTTCTATCTACTCTCAGCGTCGGCTGGTTTACGGCTCGAGTATTCCACTACTCACGTCGCGATGGATTCTCTTACGACCCATCCTTCTACCGCGCAGCAGGCCCGGGCCTTCACTTCCCCCGCCTCTCTGTCCTTCCCTGGTGGTGCCGGCGATTTGACTCCGCCTTCCGATAAAGACGGAAACATGGCGATGGCTCAGGGTGCGAATGGGATGATGAACGGTCAGCAGCAGGGAGGAAATGCCGCTAATGGCAACGGGGTGGCGCCCGCAACTCCAGCTGCGACTCCCGGTGCCAACACTCCGGGAAGTGGCATTGTGCCTACGTTGCAGTGAGTATACTCTTGCTGTCTCCATTTCTGGGTCACCAGATTACTGAACAATGATCTCTCTTTTTCTTTGAAGAAACATTGTCGCGACGGTCAACCTTGACTGTCGTCTGGACTTGAAAACGATCGCTCTCCACGCAAGAAATGCGGAGTACAACCCTAAGGTATTACTTTCCACACCTCCCTGTGCTTGATATGTCAGGGCATAGTGTGGCTGAACTGTTCTTTTTTCTTCCAATAGCGTTTCGCGGCCGTGATCATGCGTATCCGAGAGCCGAAGACGACCGCTTTGATCTTCGCCTCCGGCAAGATGGTGGTTACTGGTGCCAAGTCAGAGGATGACTCCAAGCTGGCTTCCAGAAAGTACGCGCGTATCATTCAGAAGCTTGGTTTCAATGCCAAGTTCACGGATTTCAAGATCCAGAACATCGTGGGTTCTTGCGATATCAAGTTCCCCATCCGCCTGGAGGGTTTGGCCAGTCGCCATCACAACTTCAGTTCCTACGAACCTGAATTGTTCCCCGGTCTTATCTACCGCATGATGAAGCCTAAGATCGTGCTGCTTATCTTCGTCAGTGGAAAGATCGTCCTCACTGGTGCTAAGGTCCGTGAGGAGATCTACCAGGCGTTCGAACTGATCTATCCTGTGCTTTCGGGTATGCATTGCTCTCCTCACTTCGGATTTGAAGTGGACATCGTGCTAACCAGTCGTAAAGATTTCCGTAAAGTCTAAAAGGGCATCGCCTTTTCCCAGGAAGATCTCGACCACCTCGTCCTTCCCATCTTCATCAACTTGTATTAACACTTGGCTTTTCCCCTTGCACTGGCCCGCGAGGTTGTACTATGAACGGACAACGCGCTTCAACCCAGCACGGCTGATGCTTTTTTTGCTGTTCCGATTTTTCTCTCTTCTACACCTTTGCACATCACGATTTTCATGCTAGCATCTGTACGGCGTTCGAGCGATTGGTCTCTATTATCCTTTTTTCCTTCCTGTTTCAACAAACAAAGTGTCTCACCATCTTAGATAGTCGCACACCGCAGATTCAAGGGGGCGGTACTGTGCGCTGGTCGAATGGTTGCCTCCTTCTAATTATTGGTTTTCTGTTCTTTGCCTATTGGCAGTGATCCTCGATGTGTCTGGCTTTGGTCATCGCTCGAGGTGGTTCGGACCTCCGAGGACTTGCTTGCTATTGATTCGGAGGGTTAACTCTCAAGCTCAAGCACCCAAAAAAAATCTTTCCTGTTTATTGTTCTAGATCGCTACGCTTTGCTACGGAAGTGGATGAAATACACACTGGGAGAATGAAGGATGGGCGCGCGTGCCCAGGTTCCAAATAGTGGCATAATTATTCTTGACTATTTCCTTATTCCTCTTGTGGGTAGAAAATGAACTTGAGACATGCATGCGCATATCCCTTGTCTGAACCAGTATCATATGATGTAGAACGTCACTGTGTCGGACATTAATCCTAACACTGTCGTAGCTTGTAGTAGTGTATAGTTTAATTAGTCTTGGCTGTGTGTCTTATTAAAGTGTGTACCTGATACTACGGACCCTTGCATGAATTAATTTCCCCGTGATTCGGAATATCCCCACCCTACCCTTCTTTCCGGTACGTTACTGATGCCATGCAAGTAAAACCTAGTACTGTTGAATTACTTGGTTGTATGAAATCCAGAAATGCTCTACTAGTTACTAACTTTAGTGTATGACTCTTGTCTTTGACTGTCCATCTACATATGTTCCAATACGGATGTATATATATATGTATTTGTAGCAGTCAAGTAGTAGGTACTTGTTTTGTTTTATTTATTGCTACTATCTAACTAAGTACTAGCTAGACCAAAATAATAATCTGCTTGCAGATACCACCGCAATGCGTAGTAAAGAGTGACTGAGCAGTAGTATATATTAAGTTCTTGTTCTACTACTTGCTAGTTAGTTAGTTCCCCTATTGATGATTGTTTCTCTCTTTTGTCCGCATCGATCAGATGGTAAATAAATAATATCTTCGGGGCATGTCTTGATGTTGTATGTATGTATGTAGGTAGGTAGGGAGGAGGGAAATTGTCATGTTTACTTTACATACTTTACAGGGGATGTTTAGTCTCGACTACGTAGCCCCGGTCTTGATGTTGTAGTAGTTAGTGCACCTGGGTGAGAAGCTGTGGTGCAGATAGGGGTGTTGGTTGTTGGGCTGGAGTATAGTTAGTTAGTTAGTTAGGTGAAGTAGATGGTTAGTAGCTGTGTTGAAGGTGATTAATTGGTAAAGGGGGACCTTTCTGTTAGTGTGTGTTTGACTTGGTCTGGATACTTGGGGCATTCTTGGTTTCTGCGAGATTGTCTTGAGTGAAAGTGCCATTTCGCTTTCTTTTGTGATTGATAGGTATACTACAATGGCAGTTACTGCGCATCTTGCTTGCATTTCGACCTCAGATTATGGTTTGTTGTTTCTTTATATCCTCCAATTCTCTATTTCATCAGACCGAATGCACATGGTATGTCCGCAACCTACATACATACACACATGCTTTTTACTGCATATTTTCACCGTCAATATATACAGTCTATTTAAGTCTACATAACAGCAAACTCAGATCTATATTCCCCCATTAAGGTTTCCTCACAGCAAACTACCTCTCTTCGCCTTCCTCGTCTTCAACAACTCGTCCATCAACCGCAACCCCTTCGGTCCTGAACGACTGCCATCCTCAGTTCCATCGAACTCGCTCTCCGACACTGCAGCGGGCCACTTCCACAAGTCCTGAAGCGCAGGCTCCAGCTTACCTTCCAGTGCGTCGACAATCTTGTCGCCCAGCACGGGGAGGAACTTGTATCCGTGGCCGCTGCCGCCTGTAGCGAGGAAGAGGCCAGGATGGTCGGGGTGGTATGTTATGATGAAGTCGCCATTGGGGCTGTTGCCAATCGTAAATGTTAGCCAAGATTCCAACCAGGTAGACAGTTGAATGGGAATGGGCACTCACGTATCAGTGTACCAGCAAACGCGAGTCTCAGCGAATGGCCGGTCCGCAAAGGAAGGAATCAGCTCCTTCAAAGCCTCCCGGAATGCCTTTTCGCCTTCGGCAGGAATAGGCACTCCCTTCTCTGGTAGACTGACTTTCATGTTCTGTCCCTGGTCCTTGGAGGTGCCAGGAACCGGGACCTGGACAGGGTTAACGTAACCGTAAGCATGTCGGGCAATCTTGAGCATGTTGTTGCGTGGTGGGATGATGAAGATGCCTGTCGCGAAGTTGAGAATCGTAGGCATATGCTCGAACCGCTTCTGTTCTTCGTCTGAGATGCGAATGTATGCGATCGCTTGACCGGTCTGGACGGTTCGACCGCGTAAATCGACGAGCTTGGCAGTCCAGGCTCCTGTTGCGAGGACGACAAGGTCGGCTGTCAGGGATGATCCGTCGGTAAGGTTGACGCCAGTGACTCTGCTGGACTTGTCGTTGCTGTATCGGAGACTGCTCACGTCGCCAGTCTTGAAGATGACTTTGCCTTCCTGGTCCAGACGCTGCTTGGTGTACCGGACACCCGCTTCAGCGTCGGACCAGCCTGAGCCCCAGTTTACGTAGCCACCTGCAACGCTGCGGTTCACTCCGTAGGCCGGGGCGACACGCGCGACCTCCTCGCGTGTGGGGAGGAGCTCGACATCTTGGCCAGGGATTTGCTTGACGTTCTCATAGCTCTTGTTGGCGTAGTCGCGGGCATTGGTACTACCGGGGGGATAGACCAGGAGAAGACCGTTCTGGGTGTATCGGCCTTCTTTGCCCCACTCGGTGTTGCGCCAGAGATCAAGGGCTTCGGCGGCGAGTTTGGCGTAATGTGGTTGGGAGTAGTCGGCACGAACAATACGGGAGGAGTCAACGGAAGAGCCGTGCGGATTGGGGATTATCGGGGAGGCTTCCAGGAGGGTGATCTGAGAGTTGGGATGACGGTGCGAGAGGGAGAGCGCAGTAGATACTGGATTGAATGAGCAATTTGGCTCATGCTGGAATGTCGGGGGGAAAATGGGTGCGGTGTGCGTGGTGCGACTTACGGCCGAAGACCCCTCCGCCGACAATCAGAATGTTGGCGGGGAGTGACATGTTGCGTGTGGAGGAACAAGAAAAAGTAATAAGAGAGAGGGCGAGGATCTAGACGGAGTATATTGAGAGGAGGTCGACTCTCAAAGGATGAGGGGAAAGAAGAGACTATATAGTTGGTGGTGTGATTCGGAGATGCAGCGATAACGGCGCATTGGCAAATGAAATTAACAGGCTCGTGCCTGATTGTCTTGGCGGTCGGTGTCCGATCTTTGATTTCTCCAACTTCTCCATCTTTTCCTCCCACCTCCGCACCTTATTCCATATCACTCCAGTCGCCGCAACCATGAGCGCACCACGGGTCGGGCGAGCAGCGCTGAAGAAGGCCAAGTTGCCTGCTTCTGCTTCTGCTTCCAAGCCAGCGCCTCGATTCCCAGTAGCAGATGGCACCGGGTTAGTCCTAACGACTCCGCATTGCCCATGTCGCTTGCATCAGCAACAATTCCAGTCCACGCCTACTGACTTAATGTGATATGCAGACCCAAAGCCCTACCTAAACGTGCCAACCAACACCTCAAGGACCTCCCTTCCACGCCTCCGCCCGCCCCCGTATCCCCCAGAATCATGACCATCCTCGGCGTCAGCGCCCTCACACTTAGCACCTACATCGGCTACCTCTACGCCTCCTACCGTCGCGAAGTGACCCAATCGCAATCTCTCTCCGTCCCCCACGATGTCTCCGACCGCTACAACCACACCGCACGCACCTTCGACGCAGACGTCGAAATGTCCGAGAAAGTCATGCGCATGGGCTCCAAGCGCGCAGACCTGATCAGTCGCGCACGCGGCGACGTCCTCGAAGTCAGCTGCGGTACGGGTCGAAACCTCCAGTATTATGAGCTCGGGCAGCGGAGGGGGCTCGATAACAAGGGACGTGTCGGTGTGCATGGATGCCGGTCCGTCACATTTGTGGATCTGAGTCCGGAGATGGTGGAGATCACCAAGGCCAAGTTTGCGAAACAGTTCCCGGAGCATGAGGTGCCGGTGAACTTCGAGGTGCAGGATGCGGCAGGTGTGTCTAGGCGTCCGGCTGATCCGTCACGGAAGGGTGACGAGGGTTATTATGATACGGTGGTGCAGACCATGGGGCTTTGTTCGATGCCGGATCCGGTAGGCACGTTGCGCCATTTGGGGACGGTTGTTGAGCCGAACAAGGGTGAGATTTTGTTGTTGGAGCACGGGCGGTCGCATTATGATTGGCTTAACCGTATCTTGGATAATTTGGCGTCGGCGCATGCGGATAGGCATGGGTGTTGGTGGAATCGGGATATTGGGAAGATTGTGCGGGATAGTGGGTTGGAGGTGGTGGAAGAGAAGCGCTGGCATTTTGGGACGACGTGGAAGTATGTCTTGCGGCCGGCGAGGACGGAGAAGTGATGGTACAAAGGACGCTACTTGTATATTAGCTAGGGATTTTGATGGACTTTGATGACTGGATGTATTTGTAAATATGCATAGCGGGGTTTATAGTTGTGACTATATAATTAGACAATTTGGATCACAATGTGAAGATGACAACGTAGTATTTACTCGCTATTACTGCGTGGTTATATCTTGTAGCTTAACTATATTAGTAGATAAGCATAATATATATGATCGTAGTAATAAATATGACCACTGATATGATTGTACTTATGGAAACATGAAACATGAATAAATATACTTCTGATCCTACCAAGGTACTCCAGTAACTGAAACATCAAATCCAACTATTCCAACCCCAGTTCTCAACTATAATACCTCCCCAGATTATACTTAACTATTCCTAATACCAAAGTCTAACCCTCTACCCAACAACCAACCCCAACCCCAAACGGCACAAACCCCCGTCACGCGACGCAAGCACATCACCATGCCCTCAAAGAAAGGACCAACATCACCGGGCCAACAATTCCAATACCAGAACCGGTGTTGAGAAAATCCATCAAAACCAAGGTTTGACCCGATCATCTGAGAACGATAAAAGCATTAGATCGTCGAGATGAAGTCAAGATGGCGTTGCGATTACGATAATGCTCTGGATCTGCGTCTGCGGGGTAAATATAGATGTGTTGGCCCTGATGTTGGCTTGGACTAAACTACATGTAGGCTAGGCTGGGATGCTACCTTGTGTGTTGTGTGTATGTATGTATGTATTTATGTAGGTCCCCTCACAGGACACAGTGTATATATTATCTATTATTAATGTAAGTATTGTATGTGTATGTGTATGTGTATGTAGGATAAAGTTCATGTATACTGTATGTTTGTGGTGGTGGTGGAGGAGGAGGAGGGGGGCGGAGAATATATCTCTGTTTGTTTGTTTGTGACGGTGTTGTGCAGGTATTGATGGATATATTGAAGTTTGGTGGGTGGTTAGGTACATGCTTTAGATGTAGGGAGGGAGGGAGGGGAAAGATGCGGTCTATTATTGGGGTGAGGGTTATTATTTTACTTTGCGTTGAAAGGTACGAAGTCTAGATCAGGGCTCTCGGAACCCTGACCAGTCAGTGACGACTAGTACTACTATCTACGGAGTATAGCATTTAGAATTCAGGAGTGATATACTCCGGCTGACGCTTACCTGCCATTTAGTTGTTCATCACATACTTTTATTTACATAGATAGTAAACAGACACATCAGTGCTTTGAATACGAGAGCTGAATAGTGGGACAGACCCATCACCAAGAGTACCGTGCATGAAATCCTGACGATCTGTGCACCGACAAAAGCTGAAGAGGTGGGATGATGATGTGATGCCGATGACGATACGGAGTACACAACTTCAATTCCCAGCCTGTCTGTCTGTCTTGCTGTATTCCAGCTGCAGATGCTGCCCGCCACGGAAGAGAGTGGAGATAAAGTACATACATACATACATACATACATACATTGCAGCATGTGAGTTGTACGACTTCCCTTCCACTCTCTACCTACCCACTCTCCCACCTCTCCGTCTCTACCCATCCTCTTCCCGTCCATCTGCATTGCATTCCCTGGACTGCAGGAACTATGACAATTGCATACGTACAATGATGAATGCATAGTGGAGAGAAGTGGAGGGTGGAGAGTGGCTGTGACTAACCAACTAACCCATTGTCTTGTCTGCATTATTCTTTTGTTGCTCCGTCGAGAACATACTTGGAAACAATGGATAACATTCTCCTCCTAGGCAACAGACAGGTAACCAACTATGGAGTATGAAGATGAGACCTGGAATGATTCATATCGTTGGTGATGGTGACTCAGATGATTGGTGAACCGTCCACCTGTCGCATAAGGTTGGTGATCCCTTGCTGAGATGTGATACATCGCTCATTTTCCCGATCTACAGTAGGAGAGGCAGATAATATTTACTGTGTGTCTGGGTGCACACACACACACACACACATCGCATAGCTGAAGCCATATCGCCGTCACTAAGCACTGATCCACCACTATCTATCTACAAGAGACTGGCCAGCTCCCCCTGCTACTGCAGTGCACAGCAATATGCATGACAGCCTCGTCGCGGTATCCCAAATCCACTGCATTTCCCCCCCGGCCAAGACTAGGAGTGGCGAGGCCCGGGTTCCATGCAGAAAGGAGCGCGCTGTGCCCTTTGTCCAGCTCTGGTCTTAGCGCGTCTTCTCATCCATCCGATTGGGTCCTCTTCCAATCTTCTAGACGACCCGGCATCTACTCCACTGTCGCCGATCTGATTCGCCATAGGCTCCAAACGGCGACGCTAGGAACGATTATCCTTGGGACCGCGGTTGTAAGTGGGGCTGCTGTGTACACCGTGATTCGTTGCGTTTTTGCCTGCCTCCATTTCTCCTACGAAGTTAGTGCATAAGTCAAGTAACTTGGAAGGCTAGCGCCTGCAGCAGCGCTATGCGCTAGTGTAAGGCTCTTGTGTATAGTGCTTTTTTTTCCCTTTCTTTCACTTTTTCTTTTTCGGTGGTGGTGTGTGTCCCTTTTCTTTTTTTACTTTTTTATTTTTTTTTTTTTTTTTTTTTTTACTGTCCCAAGGTTTGATCCTACTTTTTCGAGTCCCAGCACTAGGCTCCCATGGCCAACACACTTCACACCCACTTGTCATGGACCAAAGCATGCCTTCAAGCTAGGCTGATGAGTACCATGGAAGGTGTTAAAGCTATGATGCATCTACCCGTAGGTGGTTGCCGCCGTTTTGCCGTCAGTGGGAGGGACACCGTATATACCATTGTACTTTGAAGTGTTGCCCCGTAGTTTCTAGACAAAACGACCGAGCAGAAGACTTGTTACTTGTTAGAGACTAGGGAAAAAGAAGAAACATCAACAGTCCCAAAAAATGGTCCGATTTTCGCGGAATCTGTCGGTGAGAAAAAGAAAACAAATAAACAACAACTACTCCGATTTTTAGTCTGGAAGTTCAAGCAACTGGGCTGGAAGTAGTAAGTCAGTAAGTAGGTCGGTCGCCTTGATCGCGGGTTAGGGATGTTCGAGCAGGGCTTGTTTGTTTCTGTCTATCTATCAGAAAAATTTCTGCGCAGCAACCAGGTCCCAAGGCGCTCTAGTGAGCTGCAGGTTAGCCAGCAGTAGCTACCCGATTCGCCCTTCCCTGGATTGACTCCACGGAGCATACTCCATCATGGAGTCCATGCAGAACCTCAGTTGATCACGGTCTCCTCCACCAATCACCATCGCGGGCTTTCATTCTGGTCGTCATAGACACATGGTTGGTTCCACCGTACTTTTTGCCCCTTCAGTCCATCGGCCGTGTTTTAGTTTCGCTTCTCGCCCATCTTTCGCCCTCGGCCGGTCTCCTTCCCAGTCAGTGTGTGTCCAGTTGACGCTCTTTTCTCTGCTTGGGTTGCTTTGGTCGCGACACACGGACGTTTTTCTCTCTTTCCTTCGAGAATAGGGACTTGGGATAAAGCGGTGTAGATGTGTACATCCTCTAGTCTCTTCCTAGTAGATTGTATTCAATCTTCCGACTGTGGGGGGTTGCTCAAGAAGAAAAGAGATAGATCCAAAAGCAGCGATAACAATCCCCTAGAATGGAATAACAAAAACAAGACACATCTTCAAATTGGAATTTTTATTTTATTTATTTTATTTTTTTCTTCCCTTTTTCATCTTAATGGAGGGAATCGGAGGGGGGCCACACCAGTTCCAGTTCCCATCCCGGCATTCCTGGAAATCCCCAATAAAATTCACCCACCATCGTGCGTCGGACCAATAATCGCCACCCTAAAACATCCACCCGTTTTTGCCCATTTTAATTTTCACCCGGGGCGCAAAAGAGAGAGACGAGGGAAAAAAAAAGAAAATTTTTCTTTTCGAAAGGTGGAAACCATCACATCCAAACTTATCCCAACTTGAACATATCCACCTCACGGAACGGATTCCTCAGGCTTTGTGCCTTCCTATTGTTATTTCCATTACTATTTCGATTACCATCGTTGCTGCTTCCTGTTCCGACGGTCAGTACGGCCGGTCTCTAACTGGCCAACGATCGTTCCGGTGATTATTCCATTCCCATTCCCTCGCCTTTCCATTGCTCTCTCTCTGCCTCTCTGTCCTGTCCCCATCTTCCCGTGCAGCCGGTCGGCATCTCATCATCATCACCGCCGCCGCCGCCCATCTTTCCCTAACTCTCCCATTCCCTTCCCATCCATCCATTCATCCATCCTCCCTCCCTCCCTCATCTCCCCCCCCCCCTGTGCACCATACTTCCTGTAACATTTACCCTACTTTCCCCTTTCCCCCCCAAATCTTTCTCACCATCTCCTTTCTATCTTATTGTCCTTGTCTCTCTATCTGTCTGTTTATCTGTGTCTCTCTGTGTGTGTTATTAGACTATTATCTTGCTACTCTTAGTGCTACTTTTATTTCCCTGTTTCTATACTGTATTGTTCCTCCCTCGTGTTTTGTGTGGTTATCGGTATACTACTTTACTACTACTACTTCCATTATCGCCTATCGTTCTCCTATTTCCACTGTACCCTTACTACACCTTTTTGACCACCTTCCTTCCCTTCCTTCTTTTTTTCCGACTACGCAACTATGCCTTATAATACACGTCGCAAGTCGTTGTCGCTCCCCTCCTTGGGAATTCACCTCCCTAATACATCTCGCCGCTCTCCCTCCGCCACGAAATCGCCTCACGCGACCGATGATCAGCTCCCTCCCTCCAAGAAAGTGAAGAGGTCGCACGACTCGGCATACTCGCTATCTCCCGAGCCTTCCTCGTCTTCCTCTGCGCGCACTCCCGATGGCAAGGAATCCGCCGCTCCTCTACGTCAGAGTGGGCGGCGCGGTCCTTTGGAACATACGCCACCGCCATCCCCCACCGATGGTACTGTCGCGACTAAGATCGACACCGAGGGGATCAATGATGACATTGTGGTTGGTGTGATTGAGCAGTTGGAAAAGACTGGAAACCGTCCTCATTTGGTTAAGGAGTTGGCTGCCGTTCTTATCGCATTGAATGAGAATGTCGCAAAGTACGTGCCCCTCTTTTGATCTTTACTCTCTTCTATGTCGCTGGCCTTACTAACGGGTTATTTTCTCCTTACAGCTCTGCGAACCCTGCAGCCCTTTTATCTTCTCGGTTAAGTGCCTACATGAAGCGCCCGTGGACCGCTCTGGCGCCCTGTCCTTTGGCAAAAGAACTGGTCCCTATCCACCCGCGCAAAGTGTACTACTACTTGACGACATTGCCCCGTCAGCCTCTTCCAGAGAACTCGGACGATGTCATCATCCCCGGTGTAGAGGGCAAGGATATCACTCCCAGTGTCTCCAGCGCTGATCTAGACGAGGAAGACGCGATGGCGCGGGAGCGGTCTCGCCTCAGTCCCAGTCCGGAGGTCGACTTGTCCTCGCCTGACTTCGAGGAAGAGTCCATCGACTTGGACGGTCGCAATGGCCCCGGTGGTGCGTCAAGATCTGGCACCGACTTCAACGATCACCACCATGCCCGGTTGATGCACTCGAACCGTGCTGCCTCCCCGCCATTGGAAGGAGATGAGAAGGAGTTCACACAAACTGCCAGCGCCGTCCGTGAGCGGGCCTCGGAACAAAAAGGAGGCCAGCTTCAGATTCCGGGAGGTGGCTTTTCTGCCCTTTCGGAAGGTTTGAGCGAGTTGCACGATGGCGCCATGAGCATTGCCGATTCCGTGGAGGACAGCCCTCTCTCCTCCATTAGCGGTGATCGCATGTCGGATGACCAGGATGGCGACTACTTCTCGCACAATGCCTACCAGCAGCAGTCCCCTCTACAAGATCATCTCCAGCAGCAGCAGGATCTCGATGACGCTGCTGTCGCCACCCTCTTCGGCACATCTCCCTCCCCGTCCCTCACATCTGTGGCCTCATCCATCTCGTCTGGCACGAGCGTGGCTTCCGATGACGGGCTGGATGGCGATCAACCCGAGACCGTCGGACGCACCCCTCAGATCAGCCTCCCGGAGGACCTGACCGTCCCCCCGGTATCGGCGCTCAAGCGTTCCATCGACATGCTGAACAGTGGGCTTCCCGATCTGGACATGAAAATGTCCGATCTGAATGAGCAGGACGACAAACTGCCATTGGGAGCCAGTGCCTTTGCTAGCCAGGATGTTGAGATGGTCTTTGATTCGTGGCGAGAGCTGCAGAGTCCCGAGACCGTGGAAGTCGATGAGCTGGACGAGATGTTCCGGGAAATCTGAACGTCGTCATCGCCGCACTTCTCATCCACCAACAGATAGACTAGAGGCGTTTGGACCGTGTGTTCCTTCTCCGGGAGTCTACAACAGAACAGACTCCTTTCCATCTCCACTCCCGCTGTAGCCGGTCTGTTGAGCCGGCTACCCACCTACACCACCCTGATACTCCGTTTGACCTAATCTTGTACAGTTTCTATTTGTTTAATGCCCGTTTCGCAACCTTGCTGCATCCTGTTTTGACCCCGCCATCTCCGGCGAGGCTCTCGCGCCTGCTGCGCCTGTACATATATACTCTTTACCCTTTTCTCACTCTCTGACCGTCTTGATTTTTTTATTATATCCCCTGGCTGGCCGTGATGTATCTGATTGATCGTTTTCTGGGGGTTTGAATTTGCAAGTTCTTCTCAAATGATGGGCAAGGAGAGATGAAGCCCGAAGCAGGTGATGATGAATACGGCCGAAGGAAGAAGAGGACCAGGGAGAAAGAAAAACACTGGGATATGCTTGATGTCTGACTATGTATGCTTAGCGCCTGTGGCCTTTGAATCCAAAAATTCCCCGCAAGGGTTAGATCTGACGAGAACCTTGTGCCTCTTCACTCTCTGCTTTGTAGTTGCAGTAGCTCCTTCATCCTCGTATGCCTTTCAACATAGTAGTTCATCTAGGTGAATGTCCGCTGTGTCTGATAGACGCACGGCCTCCCGCGCCCTGGGGAATGTGGATGACCGGATCCTTCCTGGAATGTGGGGGGAAATTTGGCGTGACTGCAGGAACAAGACATGCCAAAGTCGCGGTTTTTGCAGGGAGTGAAAAAGCCCGACCTATGAGAAGAGATGTAGCACCATGGCAGAAGTTTCCTGTGTCAAAAAAGAGAAAGAGATGCTGGGATGAGTGGATACCTCAGGCACTAGAAGGGACTGGTCTTCCATGACGTCATGCTACTACTCTTAGTCATGTAGGCGGTGGATGAGTATGGAATGTTCTGGTTGGTTGGTGGACAGTAGAAGGGGACAAAGTACTTTGTTGTAATGGTCTCGAGTGGTCGGTCGTATCTAGTACTTCGTAGTAGGAGTAGGATGCCATAGTAGTTCTTATCCCGCCGCACGCCCCTCCTCATCCCGAATCCCCTGCACTTTTGGTTCCAGACCTTTCCCCCCCATCTTCGTGCTTCCCTGCATTCCTATCCTCTTCAGGGCACATCAACACACTCTTATCTTCATCGATTTACACGCGCCTTTGACTTTGCGCCTGGTCTTCTGGTCCTTGATCCCGGTGTAGAAGCCCGGTTCGCCCTCCGTCCCCGCGCGACATCATGCTTCAAACCTTAGCTGGATCTTTCTCCTACGTCCGTCTGAAGTATTGACCGGCGTGGTTCATCGCCTTCCAAATCGCAAACTACATCCAGCCAATTCCCATCCAACGAATCTTATCCCGGACCCAAGAAATACCACGTGACCGGCTGTTAATTCTCTCGGCGATTCGACTGGTGTGCTGTGGCGTTGCCCCTCCAGGAACCATCTATCGTTGGAGAAAAGAACGATGGAGACGCCTGGGTTTTCCCAGCTTGACGAGGGTCTGTCGCAGGGCGATATCCCCCTTCGTCCTCATACCGATGGTCCATCTATTGTCGTTCCTACCGCGCATCCGCCGGCTCTTCCGGGCACCTCGTCGCATAACCCTCAGAAACCCAGATTGGCCACCCGTCCCGCGCATGCCGAAAAAAAGCAGCTTCTGTCCACGGGGACCAGCAAAGTCGCCATCCCTCGACAACGTTCGGCTGCAGCCCCGCGATATACCAGACGAGTCCCGCTGGCGTGTGAGTCGTGCAGGCAACGGAAGACGAAATGTAGTGGTGATACGCCCGTGTGTCGACAGTGCAAGGAATTGAGGATTAGTTGTCGGTATCCGATCTCTTGGCGGGAGCGGACGAAAGGGTATGTTGGTCGTTGTTTTTGTTGTCTTTTGGTACGGAGGGTGAGGAATTGATATTGACGTTTTCAGGGAGTTGGACAAACTTGCTGTGAGGGTCACGGACTATGAGAATTTACTGCGAGATCTTGGCACTATTGTCGATGGTCGGGCTGCGGAGCGTATTAGGACGGCGTTGGAAAAGGTTAGAGATATCCCGATCTTGACGCTCGACGAAACGAATGTCTATGCTAGTCCCGCGAAGTTACTAACCCCGACCAGCATTCCTATAGCGGCAGCGGTAGCGGCGAAGGCACTCAGTCCAGCTCGGTGACACCCCAGGACGAAGACAACGATGATGAGGTGACCTCGCCTTCGTCCATCGGATCTTTGGATGCAATCGATCGGGTTGAGGAAGATGTGAACCGCACTCCGAGTTCCAGAGCCACTGGTTATATGGGAAAGAACTCCGAAGTCACTTGGATGCAGCGGGTGCGCATGGAGGCCGAGCATCGTGCTCGCAGACTGCCGGGCCCCTACGAGGTAGAACATGAGGGCGAGTTTGCCATCCACTCCGTCAACTACCATCTAGACGACATGGATATCTCGGTGCCAGGTCCTGTCCATGTGTACTGGATGCCGCCGCGCAAGGTGGCAGATAAACTCTTCGAAGACTACCTCGATACGGTCCACCCATTCTATCCTATCATCAGCCGGACCCTCTTCCGGGCGCAATACAAGACATTTTTCGAGAGCGCCGCACGGCCAGGGGACAAGTGGTTGGCTATCCTGAACATGATATTCGCCATTTCCGCCAAGCATGCCCATCTTACGCGGGCCCCGTGGCGGGGTGATGAGAATGACCATCTAGTGTATCTGACGCGAGCTCGGATTCTGAGCATGAACGGCGATGTGCTTTTTAGTCACCCTGATCTCCAGCAGGTGCAGGTTGAAGGTCTGATCGCCTATTATCTACTTGCGTCGGACCAGATCAATAGGTAAGCATCTCCAGGGAATCGTTTTGCCGAATGTGTCTGTTCTAACCTGACACTTGATAGGGCTTGGAGAATTGCCGCTTTGGCTGTTCGCTCCGCAGTCACTCTCGGATTGAACATGAAGAACTCCAGCGAAGGAACGGCCAACATCTCCAAGGAGGCACGCTATAGGGTGTGGTGGTGTCTATACACGTTTGAGCACATGCTGGGCATCATGACTGGCCGAGCTACGACAATTAGCGACGGTATCTGTACTACACCGTTCCCTCTCCCTTTTGAAGAAGATCAACTGGTGGAAGCCGCAGCGACCAAGCTTTTGAACGAGCCCGAACTACGCCAGGAACACATTGACTCGGCCCTTGCCTGCATCTCTGTGCGGCAAATGCCATCCAATCCCAAAGGAGGTCGAAACGCTCAGACGACAGATAAGCCGCGTGATCCGGCATGGCTTAGAAGCCTTCCGCCCTCGAGTGCTCTTGGATTCCTGTACTACGTCGACCTTGCAGTTATTTCGCAGGAGATTGTCAACCGTGTGTACTCACTGGATTGCGTTTCTATTCCATGGGGCCACATTGAGAACCGCATTGGTGAGCTGCGAGCCCGCACTGATGTGTGGTACGCCAATCTTCATGAGTCCTATGATTTTACTCGACGGGAAGACCAGCCAGCAGATACCTTACGTGGCAAGCTCTTCCTCGCCTTCCACTACTACAGCGCGCGCATTACGCTAGGACGGCCCTGTTTATGTCGCCGTGACGCACGACAGACGGCGTCTAACAAGAAGGAGACATTCAGCCATGAGATGGCGGTGATAACACTAGACTCTGCCCGAAAGATGCTCGACTTGATCCCTGATGTGCCTGATGCTGTTCGTCTTTACGATATCTGCCCGTGGTGGTGCATTCTGCACTATCTTATGCAGACAACGACCGTGCTGCTGTTGGAGTTGTCTTTTGGCAGTATTCATATGCCAGATGAGGAGGCAAATTTCCTACACGCCGCCAAAAAAGCCATTCGCTGGCTCTTCGCAATGTCTGAGAATAGTCTTGCATCTCGACGCGCATGGGAGTTATGTTATGGCAGCCTCCGGCAGATTGCTGCAGGTATGAGCTACGACATTAGTGACTTGCCCGCGTGTGGCTTTGAGGCTCAGCCTCGGGCCCAGGATCAGAGCCAGGCGCTCAACGGTACACAACCTGGCTATTCGAACCAGCCGGAACAGTCCATACATGCGGGACCGACCTTCTACAACCCTGCGGCATCAGATATGGACAATTCAGCCTCAGCTCCTCTTCAGATGAATCAACAACCCAACGTGTTGTTCGCTCAGATCGACCAGCCTTTCCAGGGCTTGGCGATGCCAGCTTCCAACCCGTTGTCCACGAATTCGGAATCGAACTCTGGTCCCGGTGACTCGTATTTCCCGTACGATCCGATCAGCGGGGAATTTATCCGCTCATTCTTCCCTTCCTCTACCGACGAGGAACCCTGGGGCTAAGCGTGATTGTCTTTGGTTGTTTGCTTGGAGAGCGCAACCTTGCCATTCGTTGTGGTTATTTCGCGCTTGATGATTATTGTCATTCCCATTCTGTGCGAGCCAGCGATGCTCTATACCTCTTGTCTATTGGGATTGACTCTCAAGTCTCCTTTCTTTTCTTTCTCATTTTTCCCCCTGTTTTATTGAAAGTATGTTTATGGCATGTATTTCTGTCTACGTCTACGATATCACGCAGGGCGACTGGTGTTTTTTAGGGTGAGGCATAGAATGGGATGATACAGGCTGGGACTGGTGGCTACTGCAACGATACACGAGATAGGATAGAGGTGACCGGAGCTTTAGGGTTTGATTTTTTTTTGTATAGGATGATAGTTTATTGTGCACTGAAATACAATGGACCTCATCATATCTATGTTATAAATTCCACCCATCGATCTAGACCGTGATATGAATATGCAATGCTCTGATTGGCTGACCAAAACTCGCTGACTCATCAGGATGAATTTCCCCGGCGAAGCTTTTCTCTTCGGCGGCGACGAAAAGCATCCAAAGCTTTCGTTTCCCTTCAACAGCTTCCCCCCACTGTCGCCGGTTATCGCCAGGCCCACGCCTTGTCCGCTCAGCTCGAGGAATGCCGACCCATTTCAACGATTAGACATGCGCCACAGAACGTCCGTCCGACGGTCACATCGAGATTTGGATTTCCTCCGCCCGCAGGTCTCCTCCGCTACCTCCGTCGTGTCATGAAAAGGTGCCTGAGTCCAGCTCGTCTGCCGTGCCTGGACCGCGGATCTTCCTCCGTCCTCCACCCTTCGATCCTCCGTCGTCTCGCTCTCCGTCACCCACTCGCGTTCGCAAGCCGGGGACCTTTCCCCGATAGGCGACGACAATGGAGTCGCCGCCAGTTCTCCGTCGGGGCCGGTCCTCCGATCAATCGCCAATTGCTGCAAGACTATGTTAGGGTGGAAATGAAGAGATGTCCTATTGCAGGACCAGATCAGAGTAATCCCGAGGCTTGGATCGCAAGGCTGGATCAGTACCTGCCGCCTTCGTTGCGGAGAGATAGCGCCGGTGGTCATACAAACAGTGACGATGTTTTGGATGACAATGTGGTTCGGACCGATACAGCGGCTTATTTTGCGCAGACAATTGAATTGGCTAATTTACTGCTGCATGCGCGGGAGTCCGGGAAATTTGATTTGCTGGCGTATGTTGGTTTCCGGTTGAATAATTGGCCCGCTGTGCAGTTCTTGATTAATCGTTTGCTTGATGCTGCGGACTCTCTTAAGGAGGTTACGATACCTTCTAGGCCTTTGTCGAGTTATGATTGGGGTCTGGGTCAGGGGCTCTCGCTGGATGAGCTGACGGATAGGTCTGAGTCGCAGGCTCCGAAAATTCCGCAGGCGGCTTCGAACGGCCTGCCGGTGTCGAATATGACGAGCTTGGATGCTTTCACGGAGCGGCCGTATGCGGATGACCATTCGAAACGATTTATGGCTGAGGTGTGGCAGAGTTTGGGGTCTATGGTGCTGGAGGCTGCTGATGCTTCGCCTAACGAGTCGAAGCTGGCTATGTCTCATGTGTTTCAGATTCTAGCTCGGCTGCATCACTCTGATGCTATCTCCGATAGGGTGTATAAGTACGTCCCGCCGGATAGTTACCAAGCTACGTTCCGACCTCCAGGAATGCATCTGCTTTCGTCTCATATTATGAGTGTGCTGTCTGATGCTGCGTGGCTGGTTCATGAAGCGGAGGTTGCTGCTAAAGCGGCGGCTGCTGGCGAGGATTCGCCCTATCTTCCATTCAAGATGGGGGTTCGTGAGCTTGGGCCTGAGATTTGGCTGGAGTTTATCCTCTGGTGCTGTGTTGAACATGGTCACATCGAGGAGGGAGTATGGCTAATCGATCGAATGACAAGCAAGACTGGAGATCAGGCCTGGAAATTCCAGAGCTGGAAGCCTTTACTCGACGACTCTGGGTCGGTCTGGCAGACCAAAGTCGATCAGGAAGAGACTTGGCGACAGCCAGGTCACCAGGAACGCTCTACAATGCTGCGGAAGCGACATAGTCCGACGCCTTTCCACGGGCTCGGGAAGCGAACCATGAGCACTGAAGTGGCTGCGGCTTTGCTGGATAGCCTTCCCAATCAGGTATATCTAGGCCTTGGTTTCAGAGGTATGTCACCGAGCGCCCTCTTGCGCTATGCTTCCAGTCTCAAGTTCGCGATTGCCCCGTCAACGGATGACGGCAAATTACTGCCCACGCGCAGAACATCGAACTGGTTCACCGTGCGGGTTGTGGAATCAGGAGGCCTCAAGCCGGAAGCCGACCCCCGGATATTCGAAGACTTCCTCAGGATCACGCCGTGCGTCGTTCCGCCCTGGGATACCGACCTCCACCACGTTAATGAAGATGCGTTGACACGAATGACTCGGTCACAGCTGTACGATGACACAGCTGCCTTGGTCGGCCTGATCGAGTACAACATCCGGTTCTATTCGGCGAAGCGGTTCTGCGGTGACGCTTTGAACGCATTCTCCTGGCTGCAAGCCATCGTTGACAGCAGCAAGATGCAGCGCATCGACGAGTTCTTTTCTTCGCGCGTTGATCGACCCGGCGTCGTCCTCCCTACCCTCGACCTTGATGATTTGAATTCCGCCGAACCCTTCGAATCATCCATGCCGCAACTGTCCAGCGTCACCCTAGCCGAGCTAATCGATCTAATCACCGTATCGCGCGCCTTCACATTCGGCAACTGGCTCTTCTACTCCGACGACATCGACGGCCCCCCAGTCCCTCCCCGCTCATACGGCGACCAAGCCCTAGCTCCATCCATCATCCGCTACGCTACAGCAACCCGGAACGCGGCCCTCTGCGACGCAGTCGTCCAATCCCTCTCCCAACCCCTCTCCTCCAACACCCTTCGCGCACTCCTCAACTCCCGCATTGCCCTACACCAATGGGACGCAGTCACCAAACTCTTCGAATACCTCCGCGACTACCGCGCCAAATCCTGGGGCCAGAGCAACGCCACCGCGCTCGCAGCAGAGATCATCCGTCTCGAGCACACCATCTACCGACAACAACCACCCCCAGACCCCTCAACCCTCCAAGAAACCACCACCTCCCTCACCCGCGCCAAGGACCTCCTCTCCCGCCTCCTCACAGGCGTCTACAACGAACCCACCCACATCGCCACCTCCCGCTTCCAAGAACGCGCCATCTCCGGCCTCCACAACATCTTCCTCTCCATCCCAGGCACCCTCCACGACCTCGCCGCCTCCCTCTCCAACTCCCTCCCTCACCACAAAACCACCACCACCAACAATCCCTCCCGCAACGCCATCCCCTACATCCCCACAACAGCCTTCCACACCCTCCTCTCCGCAATAGTCGACACCCGCGGCAGCGCCGCCGGCCAACGCTTCTACGACAAATGGTGTCTCGACACAAAGTCCCCGACTTCGCGCCGTCAGCAAGAAGGAGGCATCGAGAGATTCTATCTCGGCAAGGAGCGGAACCCCGCGAAGGGCGACCCGCACTTCGACGCCAAGTACTTCAAGCGAGCCAGGGAGAAGGCCACGATGCCAAACCCCATGACGGTGAGGATCATCGCGCAGGCTGCTGTGGCGGAGTTTTATGCGTTTGAAGGCCAGGGCGGTGTGAAGAGTAATCCTGCTGAAGAGGTTCTGGATTTCTGTATCAAGAGATTCGAGGCCTTTGGGATGCGGAGACGTGAGATTAATCGGGAGGTTGGGGGGATTGTGTATAGAAGACGGAGGGAGGGGGGGAAGTTGAGGAGGGAGATGGAGAGGAAGGAGAAGGAGAAGGTAGATGCTTTGGCTGTTTGATTGGGCATTCGGGTGGGGGGGTCTTGTTTATACCATGATTGATCTGTCTGTCTGTCTGTGAGTGTGTCCTTTTGGGGGTTTATGTATTATTTTGGTTTTGGGAGATATATATGCATGGGTTGTTTATAGATGAGCGATAATAGATCACTGTATTATATTTCTTACTACTTACTGAATCTGCATGGATGTGCCTTTGTTTTTTTTCTACAAATATTTACTATTGCGTCATATGTTGTCGCAATATGGACTACTTCAGTTACGGTCAGTTGAGATAGATGAGAAATATCCATCCCTTTGGAACTAGTTTGCACTAGAGATAGAAGCATCATGAGACAGCTGTAAAAGGCATGGTATGTACACCCACATCTAGCAATTATCAACACTAATGGCGCATTTGAACATCAAAGGTATCATAAACAACATATAAACCACAACCGAACATCCCAAAATACCCATAACACATAATCCCAACCAGCTAGCTCCCAATAGCGCCCCAGTAGTAGACAACGATATCAGCAGAATGAACAAATGTTTATGACACTGCGACTCCAGAGCTTCCCGCAATCATCAATCATCATACGCAAACCGTCATCGTGGCGCAGAATACACAGAAATATCATTTAGAGCTCTTCTTCCTCGTCAACTCCCATCTCAACGTCCTCATCTGCATACTGCATGTCACCACCCAATTCCTGCTCGACCTCGTCGACAACAAAGCTCTCGTAGTCTTCCAAGCCCTTTTGAACATGGACCTTGAAGCGGATGACATCGTTCAGCATGCTCTCCACATTGGTGTGCAGCTCCTCTCTTAACGCGTTCGCGCGGAGGGTCAACTGTTCATACTCAATGTTCGTGTTCATCTCGCGCTGCTCCATCAATTGGACGCTTTCGCCCAACGTGGCTCGCATCTTGGCCAGCTCCTTCTCCATCTTCTCAATCTGTGCATCCGACGCGAGCTTCTGCGTGGTGGTGACCTCCTTGAGCCGCTCGAATTCCTCTTCAGCGGCACGTGCCTTGTGCTCCAGAGCCTCAACCTCGCTTCGCTTCTCGTCCATTGCTTCCTTGATGTTATCGAGGAGATTGCGTCGTTCCAAGTCATCATCAATGGCACGCTTCCGGCGCTCGTTGATCTCCTTCCGGAGGGCCTGCAGATTGCTGCGCACAATGCCGCGGAGATCGAGGTTGAGCAAGTGTGCTGGGTGATAGCCAGTGAAGGGATCTGCCAGTAGTCGATCTCCATCGGTTGAGATTCGGTTCGCTAGACCACCGACCTGGGAGGCGGAGAAATTGCTCTCGTTCACGTTCAGACTAAGTTCGTAATCTTCGCCCTTGGCATTGACGGCAGACGAAGGAATCAAACTGTTCTGGTATCCGAGCGTGTTGTAGACTTTGACGATCTCCTCCAGATCTTCGAGTTTCCTGCTAGCCTCGGCCTCCTTTGCCATGACCCGCGCGTGGGTTTCTTCCAATCGGTTGACCGTATCGTCAAGATTCCTCTGCAGGCGTTCACGTTCCGTGTTCATGCGGTCGATATCCTGGATTGTCAGGCCTTGTTGATCAACGCTGGCCTGAAGCCCTGCCCGCTCCTCTTCGGCGGCTTGCAGGTCATCTTCCGTCTTCTTGAGCTCGTCGTCCAAGAATTTGATGCGGGCCTCATATTTCTCGATCTTGCCCTGGACATTCTGGTTGTAGTCCTCAAACTTCCTCTTGTCGTCTTCCAAGATCCTGAAATGCTTGTCCAACTTGGCCATGTCCGGAGCGTTCTTCTCCATCTCTTCGATCTGGTCACGTAGCGCTCGGTTTTCGGCTTCCAAAGATTCCATCTCCTGAACGTATTTCTCGTTTCCTCTCTCAAACTCCTGGGCCATCATCTCAACGTGAGGGACTAGTCTCTTCTCTGCTGTTGCGTCATCCTCATCTTCCCCGCCTTGCAGCCAATCATGGTAGGCACTTGTCAAGAAACGGAAGATAATCCGATCACCGGACACATCGACTCCCATCTCTGCGCAAGCCTCATCATACTCCCCGAGCAGATATCTATCCATCATCTGGGCCAGTTGCATCAGCCAATGCAGCATACCGAGGAATGTCGGCCAATTCTGGCCTCCCACAGCCGCAATCTGCGACTTGGTGATGCCCTTTTCATATGGATAACGTAGTTGCTTGAGAATGGGTGGAACCTCCGCATCCATGCTCTTCTGAAACTTGTACCCAGGATCAATGCGATGATACAGCCACTGGAAAATGTAGTTGAAATCTTTTTGTGTAGGAGAGCGTAAGGTATTCTGCCCCAGTGAATGCTTCATCTCGAGCTCAAAGTTGTTATGCGTCAAGTATTCCAACAACTCTTGTCCAATGCGAGCTTGGAAAGACCTATCCCTGAGCGGCCGTGGGTCTCTGGGGACACCAGCAACTGACGGGACTTGGGTAAAGAAAGAATGGTGACCCATGGCGCCACCCACGGACGGTCGTGAGAAGACACTACTCCTCCGTTGCAATCCTTGCGACCCTGCTGTGCTTTGCGACGACATCGGGCCCGGAGCAAAGCTTGGGCGCCCGACACTAGGGCCATGGAACATGTTACTGGAGACGGAGCGTCTGACTGATGAGAGACCGGCATCGGCACCAAAACCTCCACCCGAAGAAGACCGCTGGAAGTTGGGCTGTTGAGGACGACTGGCGGAGTTGAGAAGCGACATACGCGTGTGCTGAGAGGTGAAAGGAGGATTCTGGTATCCGATAGAGCTGGTCCGCTTCAAGGCCGAGGAAGGTTGCGGAAGAGCAGAGTAATTTTGGCTACCCATCGCCATAGACTGAGACAGCTAGATTAGTATTATACAAGAGGGGCAGGCCTGAAGGAAGCAAGGCACATACCTCGCGGGGGCGCCTGATGCTGAACAATCCTGTATCCTGCGACATGATGACGGAAAAAGCCGCGACTGCGGCGGGCAATCACAACCCTAGCAAGCGCAAAGTCTTGGAAAACGGGTAATTTGCAAGGGGTATGCGATTTGTACCAAAATCGATATATCCAGAAGAGGCGCGACACCAAGTTAGCGATGGAGGCGCAATAGGAGGCGGGAGAGTTGTGGATGGCAGTAGCAACCGAGCGGGCAGCAATAATCATAATAATCAAAGTAAACAAGACATGCCACTTTCTCTCGTCCCAACAAAGTAGGCGGTGAAGTCCAGGGAACAACTGCCGGATTGGGCCAGGCGCTATCACGAGACTCTGGGGAAAGTCACGGGAATCTCCGCCGCGGTACGAAACCAGAACCACGTAAATTACCAGCGCTACTTCCGAGGTCCATCTGATTTGGGAAGGGCCGCTCCATCGCCTCCTCATCCTGTGTCTCTCTTCTCCCCTTCTCCTCATCGTCCCTTTCTCTCGGATCCTTCCCCCAACACTCCTCCTCGCTAAGAATAATCCTTATACCACCCAGTTAGAGCTACTGCTCCTGGGAAAGTTGCCCATCATGGTTCGCGAGGAGCTTATCTCCTCTGCTGTAAGTGCCGCCTTTATCTATGATTAATATCTTGTTGCCGGAATCGGAGCTGACCCTCACGCTCGATCGCTAGGTCACCTGTATGTGCTCAACATTCCCATTTTCATGTTGATTCATGTGCTCGTCTAATGTCTCTGCAGTCCTCCAAGACCCATCTGTCGCCGCCTCGCCAATTGAGAAGCGAGTCGCATTCCTCCAGTCAAAGAACCTGACTAAAGAAGAGATCGATGTTGCGCTCGCCCGAGCAGGTGAAGATCCGTCTACAGCAGCTGCCGCAGTAACCGCATCATCTGGCTATCAATCGCCTCCCCAACAAGCTGTCTACCGACCTCCTCCTCCACCTGCTGCAGGTTATGGATATCCTCCTTATGGTCAATGGCAGGCTCCGCCAGAGTGAGTCTCGATTCTTGCCCATTTTATACTGTATTCAACTAATCTTGCGTCGCAAGGCCCCCGAAACGGGACTGGCGTGACTGGTTCATTATGGCTACGGTGATGGGAGGAGTAGGTTACGGACTCTACACGATCACCAAGGTCGGTGTCTCATTACTCACGTTGCTCGATCAATTGAAACATGCTGACATTGGTTAAGCGCTACATCTCACCTTTAATCGCACCCCCCACTCCACCCCAGCTCGAACAAGACAAGGAACACATTGATGAGCAATTCAATCGCGCATTTGCCCTGATCGAACAACTATCCACAGATACTGCCGCACTGAAGTCTGCGGAGGAGACGCGCACAGAACGGCTGGACACCGCCCTGCGGGAGGTTGAGAGCCTCGTTTCTGACATGAAGAACGCCTCCCGACGGAGGGACGATGAGACACGTCGTATCAGCGACGAGGTCAAGTCACTGAAGGATGCGATCCCCAAGGCGCTGGAAGGCGCCCGGGAAGGCAATGAGACACGGTTGAAGGAGCTTGGTGCTGAATTGAAGAGCCTGAAGGTCTTGCTGGGCAATAGACTTGGTGGCAGCGGCAACAGCGCCACCTCTCCTGCTCCTGGACGGTTCAGCGGTATGAGCATTCCTACTGCTTCTCGACCTGCGGAGGAGTCAACTCCCGCCGCTGCGGCCCCGGTCAATGGTACGCCCGCCGCGCCAGCATCAACCGAGCAGCCCTCTCAATCAGCACAGCCAAGCGCGAGCCCTAGCACTACCTCGGCGAGCAACAGCCCTCTGTCGCACCTGGGCCGTTCTGCTTCCATCCCTGCCTGGCAGATGGCTGCTGCCAACCGCTCCAAGACCGCATCTCCCTCGACCCCTTCCACCAGCACTCCGGACAACACGGCTAGCGCGGCTCCTGAGTCGAGCGCCCCGGCCAGCTGAACACATACCAGATACTCTGAAGATTTCACTTTCCAGCGAACTGCATTGTTCCAATTTTGTAATTAGATGGAGGTTATCGAACGAACTTTACGCATGAGATGTCTAGGCGTTGCTGGGTGGTGCGGAGGATGTACAATATGTAGCACGTGAAAGTACCATGTCGTTACGACTACTACCCTTGAGTCTTCCGATCATATACAAGGAAAGGATTCTAGAAACAGCATGATCGTTCAATCGCTCTAGACCACGAAACAGAATAAAGCCATAGGGCAGACCCGCTCTTATAGTTGATAGACATTCCATGATTGACGCCCATCCGCCGCACCCAAAAGCTTGGCATTTCGACGTCAGTCCCGTTCACATTCACAAGTCTCACCAACATTTTACACTTTAAAACAATCCTCAATTATGGACAACTCCCACCCAGAAAGAACCATGTCCACCCGCGACTCCTACTCCCACTCACGCTCCCACCGAGATCGCACCCACTCCCACACCCGCTCACGCACGCGCTCGCGCTCTCCCAATCGCGATCCTACCTCCAGATCCGACAGACACCGCAGCAGCAGACATCACCACCACCACCGCCATCACCATCACCGACACGACCGCCACCGCGACCATGATCGCGACCGCGATCGCCACCGCCGTGATCGCCATACCTCCCGCCCAAAAGATCAACCAGAACCGGCACCAGCAGCCCCCATAGTCCTTCCCTTCAACTCGCGCGAACTCACCAAATATGACCTGGAGCACTATGCCCCCATGTTCGATATGTACCTGGACATTCAAAAGGGGATAATCATGGATGATTTGCCGGAGGATGAGGTGAAAGGGAGGTGGAAGAGTTTTATGAGGAAGTGGTAAGCAGATTACAGATTTGGCTCTTTGGATGGGTAGATATACATGAGGACGGGATTTAGTTGACATGGTTTTACTATAGGAACCGCGGAGAGTTAGCAGAGGGGTGGTATGACCCTGCTACGTTGGAAAAGGCGAGGACGAATATTGCGCAAATGCAGGCGCAGACGAGTACGAATACTGGTTATCGGGGCGAATCGCAACCGGATGAGCGTGGGGATGATACTCGGGATAGGGATGTTGAAGGGGAGGAAGATGAAGACGACGATGAGTACGGTCCGGTGCTTCCCCCTACATCTGGGCGTGGTGGAGGTCCGTCCTCGGGACCTACGATACCTACGATGCAGGATTTGGAGTTACGGAAGGGTATGTCTCATTCCAAATTTACTGAGCCTCTTTTGTCTACCAGACGGTGGTTGAAAGGTCTACTTGATACGGGCATGAAAGCTAACAACGAGCAGAACTAGCAGCCGAAGACGCAATTGCGGCACGTCAGGACTCGCGCGCCCAATATCGCAGTGAACTGCGCTCACACAAGTCCGAGGTCAAATACTTGCAGGAGGAGGTAGCACCGCGCGCGGAACCGGGGACTCATGAACGGCGCATGGAGAAGCGACAGGAGGCCGCGGCGAGTAATCGCGCCTTTGCGGAGGCGAAGCGTGGGGGATCTCCAGAGGCAGCGCCGGAGGAGGAGTTGATGGGGTCTGGAGAGAATGATCTGGATTCGTTGAAGAAGGCGAAGGAGAGGGAGCAGCGGAAGAAGAATGAGCGGGAGATTCGCAGGGAGGAATTGCTCCGGGCACGGGCGGCGGAGCGTGAGGAGAGGTTGCAACAATATAGACAGAAGGAGGAGGAGACGATTGGGTGGTTGAAGACGTTGGCTAAGCAGAGGTTCGGATAATTCTCCTGTTGGTCTATATACTACTAGTGTTATGATTGTGCATTGGCTGTAGACGGGACGTCAATGGAATATAGCCCCTTATCCCTGTCAACCTCTGGCCTACTTTTCATCCTCACTGCAGCTGTTGCATCCTTAATTTGCATTGTTGCAGCCATTTTATCATTGGTCTTGCCACTATTGCGTCCTTGATTCTGGATAATCTGATGATCACATGTTCAACTAGACGTATCTTTGTTTCCGGGCAGGGACATCTTCCAAACCATCACATTCCATGAACAATGAACCGATTCCCATCCGTGCCTTTTTGTCGCCACAGTCATAACCAATACACCACCCAAAAAGCCCTAAGGCAACCATACCGCTCAACCTCAAGAGCATCAACGCTCTACTACAATGCCACTCCTGCCAGCAGAACCTCATATCAGACCGGTAAACAAGCCACCCAAGCACATCTCAACGCATCCCAACCCTCACCTGACTGGAACATCCACGATGGATTCTTCAAATTCACACGAGGCCGCTTTCTCGTCGATGAAGCTAGAAACCTCCGCATGCGCGAGATCAGATTCGACATGAACAGCCTCGCCCGTATTGCAGCAGAATGAGTCGGAGCCACTCACTGCACCTCCATACAGAAGTACCCCGACGGCATGTTCAACAAGGCCTTTCTCATGTCGATGGACAATGGCCGCGAAGTCGTAGCCAAGGTTCCTAATCCGAATGCTGGTATTCCGCATCTAACGACAGCTAGCGAGGTTGCTACCATGGACTTCGTAAGTATATTCTACCACGTCATTCATCACATATACTGGATCCAGCTAACACAGCTTGATCCTGGGAGGCCAGAAACGTTCTTGAAACACCAGAACCTCGCGCCTATACATGGAACACGCATGCACACTCACACCCAGTCGGGGCTGAGTTCATCATCATGGAGAAAGCCGCCGGCGTTCCTCTTTCTCATGTCTGGGCAACACTAAAATTACCCCAGAAGCTCCAAGTGCTTCTTGCCATGATACGTCTACAGAAGAAATGGCTGAGCGTGTCATTCTCGCATTACGGTAGCTTATACTACGCGAAAGACATCCAACCAGAAGACACCCACTACATCAAGGACGGCAAAGCCGTCAAGGATTCACAATTCGCCATCGGCCCTACCACAGGTCGTGATTGGTGCGATGCGAGCCGCTCTCTCTTGGATATAGATAGAGGACCATGTACACACTATATCAGAACCTCTACCATCCGCGAGCAGTCGCTAACACGTTCGTAGGGTCCGATATACTGCAATATCAGCAAGCAGTCAGGACACGAGAAACAAAAGCAATCCAATCCCTACACCCACCCAAACAACTAGCCCTATTCCGCGGCCCAAAGCTCTACCAACCAAGCCCCCAAACCAAACTCACAGCCTTATCCCACTACCACCAAATCCTCTCATCCCTCATCCCAAAAGACAAAGCCCTCACCACCCCCCACCTCTGGCACAACGACCTCCACAACGATAACATCTTCATCGACCCGCAGAACCCCGCATCCATCACCTCCATAATCGATTGGCAATCAACCCACATCTCCCCCGTCTTCACCCACAATCCCGATCCGGCCTTCCTCGACTGGGAGGATGGCCTCGAGCCCGAGACGCTCGACCTACTACCTCGACCAAATCTCTCCGGTCTCACTCCCCAGGAAAGAGCCGCAGCAGTGCGCGAATACACCACCCAGAACATATTCATCGGATGGCGCAAGCTCACGCGCGCCAAGAACCCCGCTCTATATCGAGCTATCGAGTTCAGAAAGACGCCCGCGTACGGGCTGTTATTCCTCGCTCATCGGATGTTCGAGTATGGCGAGGCGCAATTCATGTCGCTGCTTGTTGATCTGAGGGAGCATTGGGGGGGTTTACCAGGTACCGGTGACGCCCCATTCCCGATTGAGTTCACAGATGCGGAGATTGAGCGTATTAAAGTGGCTTGTGATGGGGCGGTGGCGGGGACGGAGCTTGTAGATGGGGTGAAGGAGCAATTGGGCGATTTGTGGCCCGATAAGGGGGTTATTGAGAATGAGAGGTATGAGGAGTGTAGGGCTGCGCTGGGGGAGGTTAGGGATCGGATTGTGGAGGAGTTGGCGGAGGGTGAGGAGGAGAGGGAGGAGTATCGGCGGTGGTGGCCTTTTGATTGAACTACTATTCCAGAGGGATATGATGTTTGTTGGTAGGATGGAGAATCCGGTCTTATGTACTAAGTATGATGTTATTAGAGAAATCCAAAAACTTTTCTAGTCCTCTACCTCTATCTACCAACCATAACCCAGTAATCCAGCACCCCTTTTATATATGTAAACAGATAGCCATAAGAAACGCCACAAAGCAACAAAACCAGAATCAATCAGCAAAGGACAAAGAAGAAGGCAAATACATCAAGCCTTCCTTCCCAGATCCACATCCCTAACCAACTTCAACATCTCCGTCCCCTTACTCACATCCCCATCCTCCTGCAACCCAAAGAACGGCTTAACCGCCACATCGACCGTCTCCTCAAACAACCTACCCACGACCAACTCCTTCAAATCATCGCCAGTCTGGGCGAAATCCGGATAAGCATTCAACTCCAACAACCAAGCATTGCCCTTCTTATCGACCAAAAAGTCCACACCGAAGAGCTCAAACGCATTCGGCAGAGTCTGGAAATGCACCATCATGCCCCTCGCCGCAGCCTCGAAGATCTCGCCACTCACGGCGCAAATCTGATCAAAGACATTCTGTTTCCATGTATCGCTGAGACCGGGGACGTAGTCCTCTAAGTTCCAGAAGCGGCGGACGCTGTCCGGGTTAGCGCGGCCGTTTTCCTGGAAACAGGTGTTGGTGAGGTGGCGGGCGAGGTCGGTGACTTCGTCTTCGTCTTCGAAGGGAGGACAGTAGGGTTTTGCGGCGAAGAGGGCGAGCATTTCCTTGAAGACGTAGATTTTGAGGGAGCCGACGGCGAGGACGTAGGTGCGGATGTGGAATTTGCGGTTGTGGGAGGAGGGGATGAGGAGTGGGGGGTCGATGTAGGGTTGGGCGATGAAGTGGCGGAGTTGGGAGGTTACGACGCCGTGGTTGTCGTCTTCTTCTTCTTCTTCTTCGGGCTCTGGACGCTCGGAGCCGCTTTCATCGTCGGAGTCGGGCACTTCCCATTCTTCGAAGATCTCGCGCAGCCCGTCTTCGCTGTTGAAGAGGCGGATGCCTTGGCCGCGGTCGCTCATGCCGGGTTTGAGAATCCACCATTCTTTTTCTTCGTCGGGGAGGGTTTCGTTCTTGGCGAGGCTGTCGCGCAGCTCGTAGGCCTCGAGGAGGGCGTCGTCGAGGAATTCGGCGTAGTCGAGCTCGAAGTCGAAGCCGGGCTTGAAGTGCTTGGCTAGGACGCTGTCTGGGTGTTTCGTCACCCAGTTGATGACGGTGTTGGACAGGTAGTGTTTGCGGATGAGGGCTTTGCGGATGATGTAGGCGTTGGCGAGAGAGGTGGAGGTGTGCATCATGACATGCTCGAAGTCTAGCCGTTCGTATTCCCGGTATTGGAAGATGGGTGTAGTGCGAGAGGGAAGGTCAGCGAGAGACGAAATGGCGCGACATTGACCATTTCCAAGACGACGCTGGAGCGCCCGCTCCATCAGACTCTGGACATAGGAGTCGTCGCTGTCGACGAGAGAATAGAAGATAGGCTCAGTGTTATTATCCGGTCTACATGAGATGGAACCTATCAGAATACCAGCCATAACAGACAAACCAAGATAAAGTGGTAGCAAAATATCAGTCAAAGGGGCGAATAGCAGAGCGCGAGATGCATAAACTAGCTTGTATATCTGACAGACGCGCAAATTCTATGTTATATGCAACCACGCCGCGACTCAGCATCATTCCACTCACAGCGTAATCTCTCCTTGGATTCCAGGTGTATGCATGAAATTGGCTCGAAGTGGCGTAACACTGTGATGCATTAGCAGGGTTGGCCAGCAAATTGATAGGGTCTGTACAAACCTGGTCATGCCCTCCTTGACAGCCCAGCCGTCGTTCCCAGGAGCACCCTCCTCCACACTTCTGTACACATCCGAGAAGTTTGGCGCCCACTCGAAGTGTTTGTGTTGGATGCGAGATCTCTTCAATGGGCTCGTTCCATCCACGGCTGATGGCGCTTTCTCTCCCGCGGGCACAGTCTGGTGTCGGACGTCGTGCTCCTGCTTCTCAGGCGTATTGGCCGAGGCCGAAGCCGAGGCATCAACCGCGCGGAAACAACTGCCCGATGACCAGCGGTTATCAAGCATGTTAGTGTACAGCACCTTGTTCTGGCTCACACCAGGCTCCAGGGGGACATTGACAGTATATAGATCCACACCGTCGGCCCAATTCTTGTGGAGGTACTCGATTAACCGAACGGCATGTCGCGATGCTTCCGCGATGACAATGGGATCATGATCTCTGGAGCTAAAGGCGTACGACAGTGCGATCGCGGGCTTACCGCAGACTGCTGCCTCCATAGCACCGCCAATGGTTCCACTGGACAGGGCGAAGAGAGCAGTCGAATTCCGGCCGTAGTTCGGACCGGACACCACGAGGTCAATCGGCCCACGGTCTTGGAAGTAGTGGTACAGGCCAATCTGAACACAGCTGGCCGGTGTGGAGTCCACAAGAATCCATTCATCTCCATCGTAGTTGTCATCATCGCCCTCGTTCATACCATGAGGAAATTCGTGTGTGGTCCCATCGTCTTTGTGTAGAGTACCGGGACGGAAGTAGGTTGGCTTCACGGCGGCCCCGATCAAGTGGGCTTTACCGATCCATGATCGCTGCTGATGGGGGAGAACTACAGATACAATGTGCCCGGCAGACTGCAACGATTGGACGAACGAATGAATGTACGGCGAGGACTGGTTGGACGGCGGGCCGTCGTCGTTGACAACCTATAGGCGGAGGATGGCGATCAGCTTGAGTTCAGAGGGGGATTGGGGGAAAGAAATCTGGTCTTGCTCCAGAAGAGGTCTGCGAGAATAAGATAGGCCACTTACTAAGATATGCATTGTATGGGCGTGAGGAGTCTGGAGCGAGAGACAGGGGTTGAGGAGAGAAGGAAGAGATGGTGGAGGGGCAGGCAAAGGCAGAGTTGGGCGGCAGCGATATTTCCCCGCCTTTCTCTTCCTTCTCCACCCGTTATCGATAACTACTCTGCCTTAACTATATTCATCGCTCCATCTGCAGTCCAGTACCCATCAACATTCAAACCAGTACACAACTGTATCGTATTGGGTATCTCGAAAGGAATAGCTACAATGCCTATCTCTGTTACTCTTGAACTATATGGCTTCGCCGTCTTTGCACTCCTCGGGCGTAAGCACTTTCCCTGGCTGTGCCAGAGCCAGAAGCCTCCAGAGGCTCTTCGCCTCGGCCATCTTCTTCGTCCCCCTCAAACAGAATTTTGTTTAGGGCAATTTCATCTGCACTTCCCCCATCATCTTCCTCGTCCTCTTCCTTCACGGCATCCTCAGGCTCTATCGCCCTCCTTTTCCCCGCTGCCTTGGAGGATTCCGCAATCGGTACATCGGAAAGCGGCTCGTCAATTTCCTCCTCTTCTTTCTTGATGAGGGGTGTAGCGCTGCGATCCTCCTCCTTAACAACAGGACCGGATGTCTCATCCCGACTGCTAAGAAGCGATGCTAAAACCAGCCATGCGAGCCCTGCAGAAGCCATGCTGATGCTCCAGAACAGGAAACCGAAGACAACGAATGAAGTGAGTCTCCAGTTATACATTACCCAGCTAACCTTCCTATCAGCATCATAAAAAACCCCAGAACACAAGGGGTACCAAAGACATACCGCAAGCCCGTAAACCGCGCCCGGAACATGACCTTCGCTTTGTATACTTGCATTATCTCCGAGCTGTGCAGCTCCAAGCGCAAGCTTTCCGGTATGTTGCGCGAACCGCGAGCGAACTGCACTCGTTCCATCATCGGCACTTGCAGCTTCTCCGCTTCGTGATGCCATCCCAGCACGTAAAACGGCATGAACGAGATCTTACTAGCGGTGTCCACCAACGGCGAAGCATAGGTAAGAATAGCAGGGCGGCGCGAGTGGGACAGAGTCGTAATCGAAGTGTTCGTTTCCTGCGGAGCCGACGTAAACGGACGGGAAAGGAGGGCCAAATCTAGCATGAAATTTCCCGCGGCAAGATTGGAGGGTGTTCGTGGTAATTCGAGTTCCACTTGGACATCGTACGGCAGGGATGAGACCAGGTCTGATCCCAGGCTTGCGATTCCCCAGGGAGGTCCTTCGCTAGTATTCGGTAACAGAAAGAGTCAGTCATCGGCCATCAACACAAGTCAAACGACAGTCCTGATTCTTCAATGTCTGCTCGTAGTATAGATCCTAACTCACCCAAACTGCAAGTGTACAATCCGTTCAAGGCCCGCCTGCGGGATGAACCTGTAGTAAAAGACCCCATACGCGACCGTCGATGTGACGATCATGGCTATAGCCGTACAGAAGAAGAGGAAGGCCCCTAAATATATCTTTTGGGCTCGTTTCGATACAAGTGGTCGGAGATATACTGTCACTGTGTGCTGCGTGTTTGCGTCAGTCGTTAGTTCCTGGTCTGCCATGATGGATGGGAGAAGAAAGAGGAATTGGTACCATCACGTCTGACACGACGCCCCTATGAGGGTCTGCTCCATCGTCAGGATCCATGCTGTCTAAATCGATCTGTAAAATTAGGGAATTGGGAGGCGCGGTAGCAGGAGAACCGCTCCAACAATTGTTTTGTTCCGACGAGGTACGGGGATCGCGTCGACGTCACCGAGCAGCACGGCGCGGAGAATCTCCCCGACGCCGATCGCCAATCTAAGAAGGGGACTGAATTGCTCCACAAACTATATGCTCTCTCACCAACTAGACCATCTCTCTACTGAGATCTGGTTTTCTACGATTTCGTATGCACCGACACTCATGGACTCATCTTTTTCAGGATAAACTTATCGTTACAGACTACCGATGTGGTAGATGGAATGGATAAGAAAAAACACCAACATGAAGCGTAAGAGACACGAGCAAAAAGGAACAGAATATAAGCACCATGTAGCGATGGACCATGCTAACACGTCCTAATATGCATACCCCGCCCAGAAACCCAACCGAAACAATGAGAATAGAAACATAGAACAATACAGCATGCCAACGGAAAGCAAAGCAAACGTAGAAAC